TGTGGTGAATGAAACAAAACACAACTCCATGTTTTTGATGAGGAAATAACATTATAATGTATATTAGAAAATACCATAATATAGGCCCTTTTAAGAATTGGTGATACAAATCTTGCTGGTAAAAATAATTATAATTTTCTCTGTAAATGTAATGGAACCACCAGTAAATGAGATCAACTTTATTTTTAAAGCTCAAATATAAATATGTCAAAAGCATAAATATTTCCTCAGAATTCTGGGTCACATGGCTCAGTTCCAAATCAGTTTACTCATGAGTTATCATCAGCCTAATAAAATTCAAATACACAGTCTGTTCCTACATACCAGTCAACAATAGTCATATAACATGCCCATTCTTGCCCGTTACCAAGTACCAATAACCAAATGTTGAAAATAGCGCAATTGATCTGTCACTTGGATACAAAAATTTTGATTCAATTTGCATTATGGCATTTTCCTCTTCATGTGATTCTTGTTTCCTGGTCATGTGACAGTGAGTCCAGCTGGGAGAGTGACCGGCTGACCCCTCTTGTGTTGGGGACAAGGGCCAAGTGTGAAAAGACAACATCCTCCTCTAGAGTGGCCCTCTGGAATCCACAGGTCAGGCCCGGACCTTAGGTGGGCTGACCGGGACTGGGGCAGGCTGGAATGCCCCTTAAGCTATTGCATCAACATTCAGAGAGGTAGAGCTGAAGTACAGAGGTGTATTAATTACTAAGACCTCAAAAATGTGCTACAGTCACTGCGCTGTGGGACGAACTCTGGTGGTGGATGACGACTATGAGCTGCACTGAATTGAAGTTTGTATATGGAGCAAAGGAGGTCTTTTGAGTCATTCAGTCAGTTGATCTGTCTCTAATCCAGCACCACCCTGCATAAACAAAATGTGTATGTAGCCTTCCCACAGATCTGACTTATAACTTGGCTTGTCCCATGCAGATCACAAGTTTAATACCGCTACCTTGGCCAGGTCTCTTTTGTAAGACATTTTGAATACCTTCACACTTCTGATTAAATAAAGGTAAAATAGAATAGATGTAACTTTTCAATCACCAGAAAAGTTTCATAGTCCACCTTAGTAAATCCCCCACCTCTGACCCCTTACTGTTGTGTGGGCTTGTTTCTTATTTCAGCTGGCCCTGTCTGTCCTCTCATCCCCAGTCCACTATCCACTGTCCAGACTGTACTTCTTGTTGGAATCTGTCTTTTGTTTGCCTGTGTGAGTCGTGTCCCCGTGCAGGTGGACTATTGCGCTGTTATCTGACTCCTGTCTGTGTAACAAACTCCCCCGGGCTGTACAGCTGAGAGGGGGCGGGGCCCAAATCTCTCTCTCTGGGTGTGCATCTTACTCCCCTCAGATAGGGCTAGGGACTAGAGGAGGCTGTCAGGCCTGAGAAGAGAAACTTTCTAAGAAGGAGTATTTGTTGGATTTTTTAGTTTTCTGACATGCTTGTTTTTTCTTTCTATTTTGGATCTACGTTGGGGATATCTAGACCCAAGTGTTAACAATGCAAGGAAGAGCCACTAAAGCTAAAAAGGAGCTGGTGATAGAGAGTCCACAGAAGTACAAGAACTCTCCCATAATAGAAGCTGATGAGGATGCAGTGCCACAGGTTGTAGTACTTCAAATACTTTTAAAAAATGTATGTACTTGTACTTTTGAAAGGTAGCGTACTGTACACTGCCTGTAAAAGTTTATAACAGTAGGTGTCATGTGTTCTATTGTCATCTCTTTCATTAAACCTCAAAGTGCCAAGTTAGCAGGAACAACAGTTGGACTTTGCACCAAATACCTGGAGAGATGTAACCTGTAGTTTGTGTAGTTCGTATAATTTCCCATAGCAGACCTGTAAAAGTTTGGCTGCTCTTCTCTTCTAATTTGCACTTGTGTGTCCACAGAAATTGTAGAAAACATATTGTGCAACAGTTTGGTCAGATGAAACAATGAAACAAACAAAATTTTTTTTAAATTAGAAAAGCTTGTTGCACTCACATGATGTCTGACAAAGCACTGGTTATAACTTTATAGTGCACAGAGTAGTAGTTATGGTATGTTATGGTTCACAATGGTGAGGATGGTATTATTTCTGTGATTTTGTGCTTGTTTTAAACAGTTCATCATAAATCCGCTCTCATCTTAAACATCATTGGTTGAGCGATGAGATCCACTGACCCCGGGTTGGTGGGTGTGATTCCAGCTCCCACAAATGAATGCTGTTGTTGTGTCCTTGGGCAAGACACTTAATCCCCTTGGCTCTGCATACACTGGAGTGAAGTGTGTGTAAATTGTGGTTCCTTTATGTAAAGAGCTTTGAGTGCCTTAAAGGTGGATAAATTTACCAACTTCTAATTCACATCAGCATAGCCCTTGATACTGAAAAATGCTTTATAATGTGGTTTTGAATGGCCAGTTCTCAACAGTTGTATTTATTTATTCCAAGTGAGTAGCAGAGCGTTGTGTGTTATCAGTGGGTATAGGCACAACACTGCACCATTGTTCAGAGTTGAGAGCTCAGTGATGGGAGGAGTGCGACTGAACAGCTGCTGCTTCACTGGACACAGGGAGGACCACAGATTTATGTGGCTCTGTTTGATGCTAAGGGCCGGGGTTGTCCGTTTGTGGACGCAAGTTAAATAACGTCTGGCATGTTGCCTGATTTATGATTTGGTTTTTGTCTGTGTGTAACAGTGATGATGATATATTCAGAAAAAAATTTACCTGGGATGTTTATGTAGAGGTCTTATGGAAAACAAATGGTACACCTAAAATACTCGAATGATTTTTTTCTATTTGTGTCTGGATCTTTGGACTTGGTTAGGTTTATTGTTTTGGTATAGTTTTATCACAGTTTCACCTGTTTCAAAAGTTTGTCTAAAATGTAGGGATGGGCAACATATCAGTTCTAATATGTGTGAGATATTGAACATTTTACCCATATTTGGCACTAGGGGTGTGCAAAAATATCGAAATATCAATATATCGTATTGTATAATGTGAAGATACAGTATCGATATCATGGGCTGCTGTATCGATATATCGAGTATTTTTTGCTATCTTTTACAAAATAATTTTGTTACATCACTACAGTTTTGTTGCTTGTTTAGAGGAAACAAACTCATTTATGCGACACATTTTTCACTGTTTTGATGATTAAAATGTGTGTGTTTCATATTAACTTTGCACAAGAAGTGGTTTAACAGACACTTTTAGCCATGACTTGTATGATTTGAATGAATGAGTCTAGTGAAGTTGAAATGTCTTTGGAGGACACCTGTCAGTCCCTCAGGGCTCACTGAAATCTAGACCTCAGACAGTGGCTCTCTAATTGCAGGGATGCCTGACAGTCAGACATTCACTCTTACTGTCTCACATTCATTTACTGTGGGCAATTTAGATTATTGCTGCTCTTTATGTGAGGACAGTCTAGTGTGCCATCCTTTACTATCACTTTTAATCTTTCTGTCCTATCCCACATATATTAAATGCTTTGGTGATTTTGTCTGTACACTCACACAGATTTGAAATGAGAATCAACACCATACAAAAAATTACACACTTGGAGTTTATATTATAAAAGAGCAATGAGTCAACTTGCGATGCTATCATTAAATCATTTCTTTGTTTCTGACTCTCATGTGTTGTCTGCTGTACTTCCTGATCATTATCACTATTTTCTGTGTTCACCTTGTCTTGTCTGAAACACAAGCCCACATGCTTCTTCTCTTAATCTCCATAGTTGCTTTTCTGTTATGTCTGCAGTACTGTCTGGACCTTCTGAATACTTACCTGTCTAGTAGATATTATAACTGAATGACTCCAATTTGTTTTTACATGCTGTTTTTTCTTAGATAGTCTGTAACTGTATGATCAAACTGCTCACTCACTTGATGACTGATCATGTCAAAGCCACCCTCACTAGGCAGACACAGAGGCACCATGAGCTCTTCCTTGTCCTTGAAACTGATACAAGTTTCTACACCCATATCTTCTATGTTGTTAACAATGTTGCTGGCGTTATGTGTTTAATTTCATTTTATTTCCATGATTTCATTGGCATAGTCATGCTACTAAGATTAGTCCCAGATGTGTCACTGTTCAAATTCATTTTGATTTATGCTCCTTTCCATCATCTGGATGTGCAAGAGCTTGCCTTCAGATTATTAGTGTATGACTGTATTCATGGTAACAACAGAGACTAATAAATTTACTCCAGTTCTCTGTAGACAGTATGTGGACATGAACCATCACTTCCCACTAATTACTGGAACATTAAGAGAACATTAAGAGAACAATAAGAGAAAGACCATCAGTGTTGACATTGAAACTGCACCTTAAACTGTGGATGAAAGAAAACCAAGTCTGTGAACACTTTTAATCTCGCCTTTTACTGTTCTGTGTTATGTATTTTTGTAATTATTTTGTATTTTGTTATTGTTTTTTTTTGTGTCACCTGATGGAAATTAGCATTTTTGCTATAATCTGTCATATTTACATTATAATTACAGATGTCCCTGTCCCTGTGTCCCCACTGTCCCTATTAAATAAATAAGTGAATAAATAAACTATGCCACATCTGTTCTTTTGGAGCAGTTTTTTAGATGTAAGCTTCCATCAGTTCCCTGGAGAATATGTATGCGAATTTATACAGATTAGATTACAGTGTTATGTTTATAATGATTGTAATATAATCATAATATGAGAAAAATGTTAAAAGATTAAACAGAAATCAAGAAGCCTTTGTACTTTTTTTTTTTTTTTAGCTTTCCCAAGCCTGTAAAAAGTGTGTTGAATCAGGTGAGCAGTTGGGTGTTAATCCAAAATGTGAAAAGTTTTTCAATTATCCAGGAGTCTTCACAAACCACTCCAGATGGGCTTTTTGCATCAAATTTGATCATATACTGTATATTTACTGCATTGTTTTTATCTGAATGCTCTTTCTTCTGCCCCATATAAACACTTATTTTTGGTGTTCTTACTGTTACTTTTGTCTCCTCCACAGGTGAAGCCGAAAGTGATCGAGCCCCTGGACTATGAGAATGTGCTGGTGCAGAGGAAGACCCAGATCCTCAGTGATGTCCTTCGAGACATGCTGCAGTTTCCCCTGGAGGACTTCGAAGTGAGTCCAACTCCTGTAGTTTGATCATTATGTTTGTCAGTTTGGTTATATTTGACCTCAGAGAGTATTATGTATTGTTTATAGCATTATCTGTACAGTTTTGCACATTTGGTTCCATTGGCCTTGTCATTTCCAGTGGTCAGTGAGAGCAGGGTGCGGTTTAAGTGCGTTTGTAAACCAGAGACAGGTCAGAGGTCATCAGTTTACTAGACTCAAATGTTTTTACAGAGCTTGTGTTATCTCCCTTCGTGTTGTACAGACAGAGGTGAGACGCCACTTCCTCCCTGGATACTCAGACTGTCTGTCCCACAGTTAAAATGGAATTAAATGAATTGTGTGTTGTTGTTTTTTTTCTTTTCTTTTGTTTTTTTTCTGTTACCTATACCTACTTGTTGTTCATTCCTCTTTTTTAAATGAAATATGGAAAGTGTTAGATTTTTAGAAACTGATAACATTTTATTTACAGTGATAGTATCTTAGGATTTGGAATTTCATTTCAGGAAAGCCCTGACCCGAGAGTGGACCATACTGTTATTGTTTTTAGTGGAAAGGGAAAATCGAGCAGCTTTCCTGAAACGGGGAGATCATGTAAACTCCACAGAGAAAGACCCTGTCCGGTCCTCGTATCATGCTCAAAACAGTTATTCTGTGAGACTGAAGTACTGGTGACCTTAGTATTCTAGCCATAGCTTGAATGTTTATGATTAAATGGGCTATACTCAGAGCGGGCTTAACTCTTATTTCACATATGGCATGAGCAAGAAATTTACATTTACTGTATGTTGACCATATGCCCTTGCTGGATAAACTCATTTACCCAGAAGGAAAACATCCATGTACAACAGTTACACCAACTATGTCAGGCAAAAGGAGTGGGAAAAAACAATTACAAGTTACAGTGGCTGCACAGTCAGTGTCACAGTCACAGTTTTGTCAAGTGGTGGCAGCTGGTGCTCCGTGGCATCGGCCTTGACTTTGTGCCTTTGTGCCTGACTCTTTAACCCTGATGCCATGACACCACATACTTATAACACACAGGGCTGGTTGTCAGGGTCCGACAGGTGACTGCTCCTCAGAATAACACTGACTGAAGCTAACATCTGTTCCAGCCTCTGTGCTCCTTCACTAACCGCCTGTGTCAAGGACAATTACTATATGTGTCAGGGGCTTTTAGTGGAAATGTATAGCCACACCATGACCTCAGCACACTCAGTTAGAGCTAATTGTGGAGAGCATGTTAAAGCTGGGAGGCTGAGAAGAATCATATTTGGAACTAACCAGATGTATTCTTATCAGACCATCTGAAAATCTGTCATTGCCTTGACAATGTACAAAAGTAAAGCCAATGGAAAAGTCTAAAATATTCATATAAAGTTAATAAAATGTTGAAGACATGTCATAATGCTGTTATGAAATTCTAGGGGTCTTGTGTTTCTGTAGCATAATAGACATACAGCTATGTGCTAGATCTCAATGACAACTCTAGTTAGTTACCAGGCCAGTCAATTCCACTCTCTTATTCATTAATCTCATGATTGTATTTGAATATCTAATCATGGTGGAAATTAACGTATCTATAAAGCTGTGCCAGTCGAGTTGAACTGGCCATATCCAGATATTAGGATTTAATCAATGAGACATTTATCATAAATGATCTTAATGGCATTGTAAAGCATTTACTGGTTTGTGCATTTGGTCTTGGCAGGCTAGAGAAGTGTCTTCGCTGTCTCACTCCAATCCAGAGCCTCTTCTTGAGTGAATGTTAGTTTGGGATCTTATGTTCCTCTGTGGTGACCTGTGCTCTAATTAAAAGCTTCCTTAAGCCTGCATACTTCCTGACTCTCTTACCCCAAACAAACACATTATATTTCTGCTGGTGTTGTACCGATTAGCATCTTCCTCAAAGGAAACCTGGCTGCACAGAGGAAAGGCAGCCTCCAGGTTCACTAATGAAATCCTGGAAATTGTTAGGATCATTTCAGCTAGAAAGTGATTCACATCAGAGTTACGTTGTTTGTCCTCCAGTAAAACGCCCATATTTGTGGTGTGTGGTAATGTCCAGTCCACATAATTCAGTGCGCAAGTTATTTTTACTACTATCACAAATTCACAACTCTTTCAGTGCTCGTGAGTAACAGGTTGTTTCTGTACCCCCAGGTCATACAGCTGACAAGCATTTGACCTTCTCAAAGCCACAATTCATTGGTTTGCCTCTAATAAAGTCAGCTGAACTGGAGACACTTAATGGTTGTATTCATTGGTTTTGCTCATAGGGATTATGTGTGGTCATATACACTTTACTAATGCCTTATCTAATCCTCCCGGGATCTAAGGGTTGCTTTTTATGTATTTGATTGCAGGACAAACTTATCACCCCCAAGAAGTAAAACAGACTCTACAGATTCTAAAACCTTAAGGGTGGGATGAGACACTATTTCCCCACAGCAAGATGAGGCACAAGTCTGGGTCCACAAGAATGAGACAAGATGAAATTTTGACACTATTTATAATAAACAAATTGTGCAGTTCAGTTCACAAGTTTGGCCTGAATTGTTATTTTTTTCTTATTGCTGTCATTGTAGCTAGGATACAATAACCAATATTCCAAGAAAAGAAATATATTGCAACAATACAAGATTCCTATTGTCTAAATCAATAGTCTCATAGGTTTCTGTTTGACTTTCTTATTTTATTATAAAAAGTGTTTTCTGTTTATTCCACAGATCTCCACTTTGAGACGGCAAGGAAGAACAGTTTTTTCAACAGTGCCTGAGAACGCAGAGAGAGAAGCTCAAAGTCTGTTTGTTCAAGAGGTATGAAATATCAAAGTAAAGACACTCTTGCAATGCAAAAGATGGCATTTTTTGTACTGCAACTTTGAAAGATAAAAACTGCTACAATATATCAGTAAAAATCAACTCACCACATTTCAGTACAATTTAGCATTTTCAAGAAATATTGTAGTTTCATGCTAGGCTAACAACTGATTCACTGCACCAGAGGTCAAAGGTCATGTGTGCTCACCCTGTCCGATCCCGTAAACGTCCACATGGTGACGTCACTAGGGCAGCTGTGCAGATCATCACAGCAGGAGCCTCCTTATTTCCGATGTCTCTCCTGATCGAGTTGCATTTGGTTTCACTTCTTGTAAAGGGCACGTCCTTCTTCAGAAGAGATACCACTGAGCTGCTCCTATCACTGACCATAACAGAGAACAGATGTCTATTTCCAAGAAAGCCAGAGATGCTCATACTCCCATTTTGTCTGTTGAAATTAAAGTTGAAGTAGGAACATATTTGCCAGTAATGAAAAGTGCAGGTTTTATAAAACACAAGCACAAAATAACATATGTTAAAACTGACAAAAGTTTTATTATTGTTTAAACATGACAATGGTGGCAAAAAACCTCTCTTGTGATGATCAAACACACCCTCACTTTTTGATAGATTGAGTAAAACCAGGAGCTTCTGCTTTGTGTTATTTATTTGTGTCTCTCAGATCACTTTCCAGCCCTAACAGGTTGGGATCTGAGAAAGTTAGAAGATTACTAGGCAACCCCAACACAAATAAATGATATGAAGTAGAAGCTCCTGGTTTTACTCAAATACGTATTATGGAATTTATGAGACTTTTCATGCTATTTAAATGTTTTTCAGTATTTTCAGTATTTTCAGTGTTGTATGTTCAACTTTGTATTATAACTACCTAAACATCTATACACATTACATGCTTTGTAATTGTTTTCTCTTCCAGTGCATTAAGACCTACAAGTCCGACTGGCACATTGTGAACTACAAGTATGAGGACTATTCGAGTGACTTCAGACAGCTGCCTGTGTAAGTCTATGGAATATTGTTACTGTTACATTTCTAATGCGTTGTCTTGCTGGACATGCTGACAACTATTCCACAAACTTTGCTTATCGAAAAACATGTAGTGCACAATCTGTCAATGTGTTGTGTTGAGATGATGACAAGGAAGCCTGACCTACTTCATATTCACCTGCATGTTTCCTTGAATTGCGTTTAGGGCATTTCCCGGCTGGTGTGTGCCTGGAAAGCACTGTCGTTGTTGGTATGTTGGGAAGTTAACATGAGCTTTTCCCCGAACAATCTTACTGTGACTGCCAAATATTAATATACAGGGAGACACTAACCTTGAGACGTCATGACATCTGTGAATTTAAGGAAGTAAAAACAATAAGGTGTGATGAGAAGTACTACCTTCGGACAGTCGGGTATTTTCATATTTGCATTGTTTTGGTCTTTGGCACTCAAGACCGTAACGAAAACCGTATCCTGCCATTACATCAGCAGCACTTAACTTGGAGGTGGCACCTACACAGTTGCATGGAAATTAGAAATTAAAACCATTCTTCAGAACATTCTTCACTGAGATAGAAACTTTTATGGAAATGTACGCCCAGTAAAGACACATGCTTTTCTATGGTTTTCTGTGCAAGACATACATCCAAAATGATCACTAAAAATTAGGGGTATAACAATAACCGATATCGCATCGTCAAAGTTCTCACAATAATATTGTATATCAAATTACAAGTCTCTTTTTGCTTAAATTAAGAGTTATGATGCAGCAATAACTAAAAAAGACAGAGGGAACTACATAGACCAGGGGTGTAAAACTCATTTTGGTCCGGGGGCCGTATCCAACCTACTTTGATCCCAAAGGGGCCGGATCAGAAAACTCATGTCATATATACCCCAAAAATAACAACAACTTCAAGTATTTGTGCAGAGAAACGCAAATCTATTACAGAAATCTTTTTTAATTGGTGAAATCTTTCTTATTATAATATTATAATATTATGAACCTGAAGAAAAATTCAATTTCAACACAATGTTTTAACAATAACTTGTATGCAAACAGGAATAAGTTAATTTTTCTTGGAAAATCCTGCACTCGGCTCCACTTTTCTCACGTTGGACATTTTGCTGATCAGGGTGTCACGGTCAACAGTCAAAACGATCGTCCTTTAAGAGCGTTTGGAAAGAGACAGGTCTTCATTTGTGCTGCTCTGGTGGGAGGGGCCAAGCACAGAGACGCTGGAGACGCTGCTATGCTAAGCGGAACAGAAAATTAACAATGTTTTAATAGAAAATATAATTAAAATATTTTAGTAGAAAATCACCCAAGGGCCACATTAAAGGTCTTGGAGGGCCGGATCTGGCCTCCGGGCCTTATGTTTGACACCTGTTACATAGGCCATGATCCTTTGCTCCATTTCACTGTAGACTACATTAAGAAATAACAGTTCGAACCACTTTTAAGTCTTAGTTCTTTGGATTAAGTCTTGTCAAGACATCTTAAGAGGAAAAAGTAACATATTCACAGTTTTGTTAGCCTCCACAAAATATCAAAATAAATATACCGTGAGATGTATATCATGATAACATCGTACAGAGAGATTTGGATATTGTTATATTCATAATCGTGAGCCTCTCCACCATATCGCGAGCTTTCCCATGATGCTGCAATAAATATCGTACCGTGATGAAATCGTATCGTGAAACTTGGATATCATTACACCCCTACTAAAAATTAGATGATGGGGCTTTGAAAAAATCTACTTAAACCTTTTTTGGTTTTGAAAGGTCTAATTGTTATGTTTTTGTAAAGTAACCTTAGCATTTTTTTCATATAATACAGAAAAGCATTTAAAAATATAATCAAATTGTTTTCAATTATTTGTATATTATCAATAAACTAGGAAGTGTATATTGTCTCCACCTACCACTACCATACTACCAAAGACTGCTGTGACCTAACTATCTAATACTTTCACTACCACCATCACTAAATCTAAATTTAAATAACTTAAAAGTACTTCTATCCCCTACTATAAGTGATACCCTATTGTATTTTGTTTATGGTGTATTTCATGAAAAAAAAAAAAAAAGTACTTTCCAAATTGATTCATGAATAATATATCATATCTTTTCCAGCAAAGTGTCCCGGCCTGACAAACTGGCTGTCCATGTCTTTGAGGTGGACGAGGATGTTGACAAAGATGAGGTATATTTTTCTTATTTAAATACTTACTACACTTAGGTACTGCTTATGTAGCTTATTTCAGTCTTTATAGTGGCTTTCCTGTTCTCATTACTGCACTTATACAGATTTGTGTCTACTAGCCTACATTAGTGCAGGGTGTAAGTGTAATTATGGGTAATTTCCACAAAAAGCTAAACAACAGTCTCTTTTGACAATGAAAAGTGTAGCAGACGATGGATTTCCTGTAGATCTAATGAGACAAGGGCGTGAGCTTTGCACAGATTAAGTCACTATTTGTTGTCTTTGGAAAAGCTTTAGAGAGAACAGCTCATTAAGTTCACTGACAGAACAGTTTGAATCAGGCTTTGTTTCACCTGTGTTTTTCCCATTCTGTATTTATATCAGTTATGACTATGGTATGATAAACAGCACCTCCTGTTGGTTACTAATATTAATGTTTCTATGTTTTGCTTTTTTTTTTATTTGGATACTTAAAAAACACTAACTTTTGTGGTGGAGGGTCCGCCATCAGCTTGTTATTGCTTGCCTGGGATGTTCCACGGTATGGTATTCAACAAATATGTCTCTTATTTATTCAATTACAGGTATTTTTACCTGTAAAGTGGGCCCACTTCTCTTCAGATCTGACCTGTAAAGTGGCCTGGTGATAAGGGCTGCTGGCCTCCATGGAGATCAGGCATGTCAAACTCAGGCCCGGGGGCCAAATTTCACCCGCGATAGAATTATATTTGACCCGAAAGATTATATGGCCTGCCGGCTACAACTATAGAGACATTATTTATTTAAAATGTTATTATTTTATATTAGGCTTGTTCTGAATTCAATGTTGATCCAAAACTATTATTATTTTTTTTTTTTATAAGAAAAGGTTTAATATTACATATCTCGAAAGAAGAGAAAACATGCAAATTTTTCAGTGAATATTTAGTTTGGCCCACGACTTAGTCCCAGTTTTTAATTTTGACCCTTTGTGAATTTGAGTTTGACACCCCTGATGGAGATAGTTAACTTAAATGCCTTACTGTAGAACAGAAAAAAAACAACATTCAGTCAAGCAAGTGGTTTGACCCACTACCAGAAACGTTATGCAGTGCATCTTTAAACAGAAACTGACCCAGTGCAATACATTTATAGCTTTGCTGTTTCTAACCCTTCTCTGTAAAGTGTATTAGCTTTATTATCCACAACTAGCAAAAGTCATGACTTCTAACCCCACTCTAAACTATAAATCAGTCAAGTATAAATAAATGTGTATTTTACTAGTCTACTTTGGTTTAAAAATTTGTGCAAGCCTATTTATATGTCTTACTCACAAACTTTCTATCTGGATACTATGTTGCCTGGACTGTTTAAAATTGTCTAGACACTGATGACAAGCATTCATAGGCAGGCTGCAAGCTTTCCACAAGGCCTGCTGAAGATATCATAACCTGTGCCAACTCTTTTAAAGCCCCCGGTCGCTTTGTTTGACCATAATTTTGGATTGGAAAAGAAATGTCTTGAAAGGCCATTGACTGCTCACTGTAGTCTGACTCACTATGACAAATGTGTTATCCAGTTTAGCCCTTTCTCTTGCCATAACTCCCAAAACTGGTTTATTTTTACAGATAGCTTTGTGTGTAGTCATAGAAGGTCTACGCCAACAAAAGGTGGTGATCTCATGCAGTGTGAGAAGATGTGATCCATGTGTTAAAGTCTTGGTTATTTATTTGGTCCGTAGCTCCCAGTTTGTTGAATGTTCTGGAGCTTGTTTTTAGGGAGGTAGACCTACGTCGGGTTAAGCTCTGTGTCATCTCAAAGCACAAGATCTAAAGCCTTCAGAGGGTGTGTTCAAAACAGAGCAGATATGATTTTGGAGTCTGTAACAACGTCTGGCCCAGCCTCGTGACATACCGCCAGTGTTTCTGTGTTTCAAATGGGTTTTAAACATGTGACCCATTTCTATAGCGTTATAGCCTTACCAGATTACAGACATTTTAAATGGGGAACACCGTGTCGCCATGGAGACAAGATGTTCCACCATATGGCATTAATCTTTCAAACTTTTCAACATCAGAAACATTCATTCTGACTGTGAGTGAGGCCGATCTGGGCGTGACATTTTAAATTGGGAAAACCTTGTCGCCATAGAGACAAGATGTTCCACCGTATGGCATTAATCTTTCAATCAGTGTTGCGTTTATTCTATTTTAGTTATTTGCTGCATGCTACAGAAATCCATTGAGAAACATTTATTCTGACTGTGAGAGGGGCCAATCTGGACGTGACATTTTAAATTGGGAGCACCTTGTCGCTATGGAGATGTTAATAGTTTGGCTTGAATGTTCCATCGTATGGCATTAATCTTTCAACTAGTTCAGTGACAGTTGGTTGCTTCATGCCACAGAAAATACATTCAGAAACATCGTGAGTGGGGTTGGTCTGGTCATTAACTAAGTCTGTCTCCATGGAGATAGAAAGTTTAATGCCATATTGTAGAACATTCCAGGCAAAGCGATCACAAGTACTATAAACACATACAAATTAGTTATTATTTTGACAACTGCACCTACTAAAACAAATCTTGTTTTGAATGTTAAATGGCATGAGGATGTTTACTGGTCTGTAAGTTAAACATCTTTCTACTGTCTTACTACCTGAGTTAACCTTTAACTTATTTATTATAATTTTTGTCTCTGCTTTTGCAGGATACAGCCTCCTTAGGATCACAAAAGGGAGGAATCACCAAACATGGCTGGCTTTACAAAGGCAATATGAACAGTGCCATCAGCGTTACTATGAGGGTAAAAGAGCCTGTACTTTTACAAACTCAAGTCTACTGCATGGATACACTTAAATTACATTTTTTATGCTTTGTTTCAGTCCTTCAAGCGGCGGTATTTCCACCTAACACAGCTGGGAGATGGCTCCTATAACCTCAACTTTTACAAGGATGAGAAAATCTCTAAAGAGCCCAAAGGAACCATATTTCTGGACTCCTGTATGGGTGTAATCCAGGTAAAATAAAATGTGTTCCTATTGTCCTATAAGTTAAGGCCACATTTATTTCCCAATTCCTTGCCGATGAATACCTTTTTTCTATTCAAATATTTTAGCATGTTCATTTTAAAGGTCCTATATTATGTAAGATTTAAGCCATGTTAAATGTTGTTATCTCCTCAAAAACACCTGGAGTTGTGTTTTGTTTCCTTCACACAGGTTTGAGTAACTGTTTATTATTAGTCAGTCTGCATCTCCAAAACTTCAAAATGCTCTGTTCCACCGTATCATGAAGCAATCATTTTCAAGTTAACAGCTCCTTTTACATTTTGTTCACTAGATATTGGCATTTCTTGGGCTAAAATGATCCAAATGATTCTAGTGAAGGTGTATGGAGTTTAAAAACACATTGGAGCACTTTCTGTATTACTACAGGACATCACAAGGTGGAACAAAGTTGTTTCTTTTTTTTGTTTGAGAGAAGAACTATGCAGGCTTTGTGCATTGAACATGTGTGAATGAAACAAAACACAACACCAGGTATGTTTTTGATGAGAAAACAACATTATAACATATCAGGAAATAGCTTAATATGGGCCCTTTAAAAGCAACACAGCATGCACTAGCCAAACACTTCACCCAGCTGAATGCTTCCCTGAAACCGGAGCTGCCTCTTCCCTCGGGCCAGCTTCATAGTGCTGACTCTGAACAGAACAAGGTGAATGCTGAGATCTCACTTTCATGCACTTACCGCACAATCAATGGCACGTGTTAGTATCTGTTAGTCTATTCAACGAAGTGTGCACATCTCTGAGTCTACCTGTCATGTCAGTGGATGGAAAAGTTATAATATACTGACAGCATCAAAATGATCTGATGCTCCTAAAACACCAGAGCATTTATTCCTAAATCAGAAGTGCTAAAAGACATGTTTACATCCAAGCTCATTGCGTGTTTAACCTTAATTCCTGTGGACAGTTTTCCTACTCACATTTACTTTTTGAAAACTATCGCTTCATGATATCACAGCACAGAGGTGGGACCAAGTTGTTGTTTTGCAAGTCTGAAGTAAGTCTCAAGTCTTTGACCTCAAGTCCGAGTCAAGTCCCAAGTCAAATACAGGCAAGTCCAAGTTGAGTCTTGAGTCACTGGCCCATAAGTCCAAGTCAAGTCAAAGTCGTCTGCTTTGAGCTTCAAGTCATTTCAAGTCTTTAAACCAAAGTACCAAATATAGCTTAGATTTTTGCAATGTATATGAATTTTAAGATAAATGGTACTTTAAAAAATCATAGTATATTTATATATGAGTATTTATAGAGTATGTAAGAGTTGTAGAAATGTTATCCTTTTTAAATGTCTTGACAAGATCTTAGTGTGATTCATTATGGTCAGAATAGAAAGAATTCAGATTTAAAAGTACTTCTCAAGTCGCAGGCCTCAAGTCTGAGTCAAGTCCAAAGTCACTGACCTTCAAGTCCAAGTCGAGTACCAAGTCTTAGTCCATTTTATCAAGTCAAGTCTCAAGTCTTAAAATTAGTGACTCAAGTCTGACATTAGTCCAAGTCACTTCTTGCAAGTCCCCACCTCTGTCACTGTGTAAAAAAGAACATTTTGAGCTTTGGAGCTGTAGACAGACTAATAATACAGGATTGGGAATGAAACAAAACACAACTCCAGCTATGTTTTTGAGGAGGTAACAAAGCTAACAAGAGTCATTTATGCATAATATAACACCTTTAAATGGGCAGTTGAATAGTGTAAGTGTTACTAATGAAACTTCTATTTGTACATGTTTATACAACAATTATACTCTACATGCAGTAACTTAGCCATGCTTTTCAGTTCATTGCTATCACTCACTAGACTACACTCACCATAAGCCTCCTTTATACCATATATAGTTGTATTTTCTGCTGTATGAAGCAGGTTATGACTTAACCAGCTGAAAAGGTTTTGCAACAAGGCTAATGCATCTAGAATGACATCATGTTAAACTTCAAACTGCTGCTGCACTTTGTTATGCCGCCAACATGTGGTCAGAGTTTGAGGCCTCTGTCACATCCTAATTATGATCAGCACTCGAAGCAATACCATTTTTCTTGATTTATAAAACAGTGATTTAAAAAGGCTATGAACAGAAAATTTTGTAGTGACGCAAAAAAGGAAAAAAAAAAAAGATTTAAGGGTACATGATGTAACCTTCTAACTGAGGGTCTGGCACCAAATTGTCTCTCCAAGGAGTTGCTTCTGTCACTATAGAGACCAGCAGGTAATGTCACTGGGCCATGGTACAAGTCAGATTTGTGGAGAAGATATCTGCTTACTGTAAGGATAGTTTTTTCAAGGATTTTTTTTAAGGATTGAGGTATTTAAAAACATTAATTTCCATGAAAGCGTACTTCCCAAAGTTATGTAGTGTATCTTTAAAGCAGTATATTGATTTATGAACTTATGACGCTATCTTACAAGGGTAAATAATGATAGTGCTTAGAGCCTCAAGTCTTTGACCTCAAGTCTGAGTCACGTCCCAAGACAAAGACAGGCAAGTCCAAGTCAAGTCAGGAGTCACCGGCCCATAAGTCCAAGTCAAGTCCAAGTCGTCTGCTTTGAGCTTCAAGTCATTTCAAGTCTTTAAACCAAAGTATAGCTTAGATTTTTGCAATTTGTACAACTTCTAAACTAAATTGTACTCAAATATATATATATGGGTATTTATATAAGAGTTATAGAAATGCTACTTTTTCCTTTTTAAATGTCAGTTAACAAGGTCTTAGTGCAAATCATTACGGTCAGAATAGAAAGAATACACATGTAAAAATGTAGTTCTTTTGTCATGTTGTCTTCACTGACATAAAAGGATCATTTTCTATGTAGTTCCCCCTGTATATTACTGTAGTACATTTGATGATACCACATATCACAGTACTTCAGTTACATCCAAAGTAACAAACAGAAGTGGCGGGACATGTTCCAGTTTGTTCCTGTAAAATTAATCAACTGTAAAGAGAAAAGTATATTCTAAAGTATTTTTAGGAGAAGCATCAAGTCTTCTCAAGTCACTGATCTTCAAGTCCAAGTTGAGTCCCAAGTCTTAGTCCATTTTATCAAGTCAAGTCTCAAGTCCTAAAAATAGTGACTCAAGTCTGACTTGAGTTCAAGTCATGACTTGCAAGTCCCCACCTCTGCTTAGAGCTTTGCTTAAATGAAGCCACAATGCTCTTATAACAACTCACAATTTAACTTAAAATCTGTGGTTTCCGTTTATTACATTCATTAAATCTACTTATCAAGACAGGAAAAAATAACCCTAGTGTTTACTTGGCCAACTTCCAGAAAATGACATTCTCTCCCACTCCCACTCTGCTGTATCAACATTTTGCCCAAAGCAGCCAGAACTGAAGCATAACAATCCACCCTATGTTGGCAATGACGAGGCCTCACAAACTGCCCTAAAAGTCCCGTTCAGACCTTATCAACCTGCTTAAAATCTGGAATCAAACAGAATCAGATCAACACTTATCATTTGGAACTATGATGAAGATGTGATGGAAAACAGCGCAGGGGTATCTCTCCTTTTGGCTTGGGGTCAAAAGTTGAGTTTGTAAATCTTGTTTGAGAGTCTCGCCCTTGAGAACTGGCATACTTGTGAACTAATATTTCTTCTGTGACTGTCAAATTTTTACTTTATGGCTGGGTTTCAGATGACATCACATCGTTCTATAGGCCAATATTATTTAATACAGATAAAGCAAGTCAATAGAAATGATACCACAGAAAAAATATATAAATAACAGATTGAAATACTTGCTGGCTTTTTGTAACAGCTTGGAATATAAAGGACTCACGTTTGTAAAGCGAGTACTGTTTGCATGTTAGCTTTGGAGGTTGGCAAGAATTCCTTCAGGTTAGCTCTCCCCAAGTACATTTTCTCCAATCATTTAATCAGAAACTAAACAAAAACAAAGATTATTATTCAGGTATTTCATCTCTTTTTGCTTATTTTAAGTGAAAAACCAACAGTCTCTCTTCCTCTCTGCAGAATACCAAAGTCCGGAGATTTGCCTTTGAGCTGAAGATGCAGGATAAGAGCACGTACCTGTTGGCGGCGGACAGTGAGGGGGAGATGGAAGAGTGGATCAACACCCTCAACAAAATCCTCCACAGCAGTTTTGAGATGGCAATGCAGGAGAAGAGGAACGGAGAAGTCCATGATGGTGGGTATACAGACAGATGTACACCTCCGTCATTGTTTTTGGTCAGAGTTGGGATGAGCTTGAGTGTCCGTGAATTCAAACTTTTCTATTTACCACTTCTACCATTTCAACATAAGGCCCAATATATAAACAGAAGGGGTTATTACGCAAAACTGTGAGCTTTTTGCCATGTTATAATGCTGTTACCTCATCAAAAACATACCTGGAGTTGTGTTTTGTTTTCATTTATTAATCTGTCTACATATCCAAAGCTAAAAATGCTCTATCCTTTGATGTCATGTAATGGCAGTTTTCAAGTTACCTTTTACTTTTTTTTTTAAAACACAGTGTTTTCTGTTTGAGAGAAGAACTCAGAACCTTAAATATGCTGGGTTTCTGTGTTACACATGTGTAAATTAAACAAAGCACAACTCCAGGTATGTTTTTGATTTGGAAACATTATAACATAGATCAGAAAAAATTGTAATATGGACCCTTTAAGTTGGGCTTTAGCTTTTGAAAATGATTCTCGGTCAGTGTATTAAACTATGGCGTCTGATCAATGTTGATCTGTAAAATGTTTTATTATCATGACCATAAAGTCTGGCTGGTAGTGTTAGGGCTAATGATCTATAATTTGTTTCTTTTAATGGCATAACATAGCAAGAACTGTTTGATCACAGCTCAGCGGCCTTTAAATGGAGCCAAACATTGTTATGTCATATATTATATTACTGCATTTTATGTAATGGAAAATGTCCCAGTATATTGTTTATTTCAACACAATTTAACACAGTGTTACATCAACCCTATAGTGGGACAAATCTCTGTTTATATATTCTGTACTTGTGGCTGTTTTTAAATAGCACTCATTCATTCACTCTAATTAGTTCACTTTTGACTTATTTTTTTATCCTGAACTGCTACCAGACCACCCAGGCTTCAGACAACACCTCCTGTCTGCTGGGGGGGTGTACTGCGCTGGAGCTGGTTCACTAATCTCACTAAATCCTTGAGAGCACAACATTCATTTGACGTTGTGTGTGGTTTCAATGTCTATATAGGATCTTACGTTTACTGTGAATGAAATAACTGGCTTTTAACTGTCACCAGGTTGTAAAGAATATACATAGGTAATGTCCTGCCTTATCTTGTGTTAATGTCTCCCATCACATATGTTTGTCTTGCTTCCAGATGATGATCTTGGCAAGTCTGACAGTTCCTCTGGCAGTATGGACAGCTTTCAGGTAGGTCTGCATTATACTCGCCTATTTTGTTTTGATGTTCCAAGTTATGTTTTCACTAAATTTGCTGAGATGAGAGGGAGATTATTGTTTCATATCCAAGTCTACACACTAGATTTTGTTTGAAATAAATGATATTACTGCCTTTGTTTATGTTATCTGTGCATTAATGACTATATAGACTCTACATACTGTTTTGTCTGTCTTGTATCATTTGGCTAATCATTTTGTAATTTATCTATTCAATATTGGCCAGGTGTATGACTCAACAGCTTAAATCTTTCTCTTACTAGACCAAAATATTTATGCTTTATCATGTGCACAGAGTTCTGTATCTGTGTCTGTCTTTCACAGTTAAAAAGGATATAAATTAACATGAATATTTACAACTTCAAAAGCCTTTCATTTAGTCTCCCACATTTCAAAGCAGGTCATTTGGTCAGTGGTAAATCTTTGTGTTTGAAGTATGGACTGCGTAGGTACCACCTGACTATAGCCCCAGTGTTTCTGTGTAACATCACTTTATAGACTATGAGGGTGAACAGGCTGTAATAGCTAATAAATCCTAAGGAGAAGGAGAAGTTATGTTTTACCTTCTGTTCCGATTTAACAAAATGTTTTTCTTCTACAGAGTTCCAGAGATATTGAAACTAGGCTGCGGAACGAGACCCGGTTAAAGCTGTTCACACTGGATCCAGACACGCAGGTATGACGATGCCAACATTTGTATTAAAATTAAGTGTAATATTTGCTCTGTATGTACTATTTTAGAGTCTAGAATCTGATTATGTCATACTCCCAGATGGGGGCAAGAGCTTTTCCTATTGTTTTTCCTATTGATAACATTGTACTTTGCCATGTAATATCCAAAAAGTAAAATTCATAGATGTTGAACCTGATAATTTTTATTAGTGACTAGACCCAAGAACTCACTGTAATACAACAAAAATTCTAACTAGAGATCGACTGATAGGGGTATTTTATTAACTGATGCTGATTGTTCCAGATCCAGAGCAACCAATAGGTGATAAGCTCTGCCAATATTTTTGGGGCACATATATGTGTTCGATTTTGATTATTTTTTCACCAAAGTATGGAATTCATTTTTACTACAAACTCAGCCACATCCCTTTTTTTAGCACAAACCCATAAAGGAACTGTGTAGTCACATTTCTCTGAGTTTTCTCTTCTTATTCAAGCTGTGTGTGTGTGTTGGGTAGCAGATCCAGCCAATATGATAAAAAGTCCAAATATATCGATCCAGTATATCAGTCTATCACTAATTCTAACTATTTTAACTAGCTGCCCCCATCTGTATTAAATAATATAGGTCTCTTGAAGGTAATGATGTCTTCTGAAACCCAGCTATAACTTGTCCTTGTTTATTTCAGAAACTAGATTTTTCAGGAATCGAGCCGGACGTGAAGCAGTTTGAGGAGAAGTTTGGCAAACGTGTGCTGGTGAACTGCAATGACCTCTCCTTTAATCTGCAAAGCTGTGTCGCCGAGACCGAGGAGGGACCCACAACCAATGTAAGAAAGAGTCTCAAACAACAGAAAAATTAGGCGCTTGATTAAAGACGAAAGTGTTGGTTATTCATAGTGGCCGGATGAGCCAGTGATTGGGGAAGTGAAGGGATGTGTAGTCATAGCAACCGCAGTGCATGTTTAGCGTTAGAGTCTGTATAATGGATTTTGATATCCTGCTGTCCTCTCGAATAAAAGGGATTATTAAAGACTTAACAGCTCCCACAGAAACAATAACATGGCACCCAGACATCAACATAACTGATTGTTGAGAAGCAAGCAGAAGCAGCTCCCTCCACTTAACTTGGTAGTTATTGACTGTGTTTACGATCACAATAAAAATCATTATTTGTTTTCAGAATTTATTATATTACTGAGATGTCATGTAACAGTTATAGAAAATTTTAAAGAAAAATTTGCAAAAAGTATACTAATATGGCCTAGACAAATTAAAAGATAAAATTAAATGAAAGATTGAAATATACATCACAAGTTAAATGAGTGTTGAATTCACAAATATGCATTAAATCAGCTATAGTATGAGTTTTTAAAATAATTACTGTCTTTTGATGTGTGCCCTGGATGATTATGAAGATGTCACAAGTTGTTTGAAAAAAATCTGTGATATGACTGTCCTTGAATGTGTCGTATGTCCAATGTCCAATATCCAATTCAACCGTGGTATTTTGTTTTTTTTTGTCAGGTGGAGCCTTTCTACATCACCCTGTCCCTGTTTGACATCCAAAATGGCCGAAAGATCTCTTCAGACTTCCATGTAGACTTGAATCACCCATCTGTCAGAGGAATGTTACCCAGTAACACCAGTCAGTACATCAACGGAGGAGGAGACATCCACACTGAGGTCCGACTTGTCCATGGAGTGCCAGAAACGGTCATGCAGTATCCCAGACAGGTGAGCAGCAAATATTTTACAACCAATATTATTTTATTTATAGATCCCACATTACGAAAAATTGACTGTTGTGAGCTTTAAGCCATGTTAGAATGTTGTTATCTCCTCAAAACACATACATGGAGTTGTGTTTTGTACATTCCTACATGTTTGTGTAATCCTTATTAGTCTACATCTCCAATGCTCAAAATGCTCTGTTCCCCCTTGTGATGTTATGAAGAGGCAGTTTTCAAGTTAACAGCTGCCTTTAACATTTGTTTTATAGAAATTGGCAATTCTTGGGCTTAAATTATCCAAATGATTCTGGTGAAGGTGTATGGAGTTTCAATACACAGGCGAGCACTTCCTGTATTGCCACATGACATCACAAGGTGGAACAGAATGTTTTTTGTTTGAGATAGGAACATGGCCTAAATATGCAGGGCTGGTGTGTTTAAACATTTGTGAAAGAAATAAAACACAATTTCAGGTATGGTTGTGATGAGAAAACAACATTATAACATACTATAGATGAGAAAATATTGTAAAATGGGCCCTTTAAACTTTCAAATTCATACCTATGTGCTGTTATTTCTTTTCAGGGAGTCTTTTCAGTAACATGCCCACATCCAGACATCTTCTTAGTGGCAAGAATAGAAAAAGTTCTTCAAGGGAGCATCAATCACTGCGCTGAACCCTACATGAAAAATTCAGACTCTACAAAGGTATGGACCAACCAAAACCTTTACATAACCTGTCTCAGCAGATTCCAGCATAACTCCACTTGATACAATGATAATCGCTCCTGTGCTGACCAGTCACACACTCAAAACAAGCATTGACTTTGGCTGAGAAACCTCGTTTTGGGCCCTGAAGGGAGCCCAGTGGTAGTAATTCAATCATTTATAATGCATTTTGTGTGAGTTCACATTGTCCAGAGCTGTGAGTGTGTGTCTGTTCTCACTGTCAGTGTAAAATGTTTACATTATTGAAGGAAAAAGTTGTGAATACAAGCAATAAAAGCATATCTCCTCTCTCCCACTAGGTGGCACAGAAGGTTTTGAAAAATGCCAAGCTTGCATGTGGCAGGTTAGGACAATACAGGATGCCTTTTGCCTGGGCAGCAAGGTATGTTTTTTATTTATGTTGTAATGAGATGTAGCATTTTTCTGTGGAATTTTACCTAATCACTTTTAAATCTGATAAATGTACTGTGTAGCTATAGTCCGATATAACAGCAATACTGTAGTGTAAAAGCCTAAAAGCCCATTAAATACATTTTTATTGAATCATTCACAATGCTTTAATCAAGCTTTATTTATACGTTTTTTTTTCTTTTTTTTTTTTCTAACTTCATTTTTATTTTACCAGGGAAAATATTGAGAACAAATCCTTATTTACAATCTGGGCCTGGGACTTATTCTCATCTCGACATTTCAATCAGTTAACAAAAAATAAATATATACACAAAATAAACATTACAAATATTTTCTCTCTCCCAGGCCTCTGTTTAAAGATGCTTCAGGAGTGCTTGATAAAGGAGCCCGCTTCTCAGCACTTTACAGACAGGATGGAAACAAGCTGTCCAATGAAGACATGCTGAAACTGCTGGCTGACTTCAGAAAGTAATAACATGTGTGATAATATTTTAGAACCCATACGATGAAACTTATTGCTAGTGAAGTTCTTATGATCTGCTCTTTCTACATTGATCTTAATGGATATCTTTTTCTTTATTCCCAAGACCTGAGAAGATGGCCAAACTCCCTGTAATCCTAGGAAATCTTGATGTTACTATTGACAACGTAGCCCCTGACTTGACAAGTAAGCTCCATAAGTCTTTGCTGCTTTAGTCCAGACAGGCGTGTCAGTGGGCTGTGTATTTAGTCTGACTCCTGCTCCTGTTTTTAGATTGCGTTACCTCATCCTACATTCCTGTGAAGCAGTTTGATGTCAGTGAGAAGCCCACCATTTTCTTTGAAGTGGAGGAGTTTGTTCCCTGTTTAGCCAAATGTTCCCAGCCATTCACCACCTACAGTAATCACCTCTATGTCTACCCAAAGTACCTCAAGTATGATGGGCAGAAGTCATTTGCAAAGGTATTACTACATTACACAACATGATTTCTACAAATTGTCTGAAACTGTAAATGCTGAAACTACTTTATGCATGTTGTACAGGCAAGGAATATATGCATGTTGTACAGGCAAGGAATATAGCAGTGTGCATTGAGTTCAGAGATTCAGATGAAGAGGATGCTGTATCACTAAAGGTAATAAAATATCTAGAATGTATTAATTTGTTTAAAAAAAAAAAAAGTCTTAAATCCAGCTTATTATTTTATATAGTGCATCTATGGCCGACCTGGAGGACCTTTATTTACCAAAAATGCCTTCGCTGCCGTATTGCATCACCAGCAAAACCCAGAGTTCTATGATGAGGTAAAAATTTTGTTAAAAATTAATTAACACTTACCAGTCCCAAGTTTGTATAAAGTGTAAAGTCTTATAAATGTTAAACTTTTTTCTTGAGTCACTGTTTTTATTTTGTATTTTTTGTCTTTTGACTGTTTTAATATTTGTTTTGTAAAGCGTCTTTGACAAAGTTGATAATTGGCTACAATCCAAGAGCGAGAAGAAATAATGGATTTGTGTGGTATGACTTTTGACTGTTTTGTCTTTTTTGTTTTAGTTTAAAATTGAGCTTCCTACTCAGCTGCACGAGAAACACCACCTGCTCTTCACCTTTTACCACATCAGCTGTGAGAGCAACAGCAAGGCCAGCACCAAAAAGAGGGAACTGATCGAAACTCAAGGTAATGCATTTGTAAATTTAAAAACATATATGATGGTGTCTATGTCTATGCTTGTTGCCCCTTGTGTATTCTCCTCATTTCAACCTGGAGAGACTTAGACAGACACAAGGAGAAAGTATTACCAAGCTAGAGTTATCAGACCCCGACAGAGGACATGATGAGATGGAGAGGAGAGTGAAAGGGATGATGAGGAAAGTGAAGGGGATGATGAGAAGGCAAGGGATTGCTGGGGAGGAGGTGGGCTTTAAATTGGGCAGACTGGACACTGTTTGGATAAAGAGGAGTATGGTGAGTGGCGGTGAGGAGTATTTGGAGTGAGGTGATGAAGGCTCAGGAGCAGGTAAACTCCGGAGAAGCTGTGAGGTAGACGAGAGTGAAGTTAGATCTTCCAGACTGAATATACGCTAGCTCATTTTATCTTTCAGTGGGTTACGCCTGGCTCCCATTGTTGAAAGATGGTCGTGTGATCATGAACGAAAGTCACATCCCAGTAGCTGCTAACCTGCCCCCTGGATACCTCAGCTGTCAGGAGGGTGCCAAGGTATTATAATTTTTATCAAAGTATTAACAGCAGTAATCTTTGTATCTCTAAAATATATTATATTTTATAGCACACAAATTCAGAGGTCAAATGGGTGGATGGAGGCAAATCACTATTCCGGATATCTACTCACTTAGTTTCCACGGTCTACACTCAGGTTGGTATAAAAGAAAAAAATATATATATAGAGAGAGAGATTTATAAAACATGACATTTATTAACATGATTGATATGAGATCTCTATGTATTTTTGCAGGATCAACATTTGCACAATTTCTTTCATCACTGTCAGAGCCACAAATCTGCATCTCCAGTGTCAGGAGGACAATTGGTCAAATATCTAAAGGTACTTTCAAAGGGTGGTGGGGGGAGCATACAACAACTTTGTTTCACCTATCGCCTCCTACACAATTAAGAGGCCCTCTAAGTTCACACCGCACACAGTGTCCTGACGGTCATCAGCAGGTCAGCAGTGCGGAGTGGCTCTTGTCCAAACTATTTCAAATGCCCTGCTGCATCAGACCCAGAGTCTGCCCTGTCCTGTCCACTCAGGCATAAGGCCCATGCTGTTATTAGATTAGTTTCCACATGCGTCAGAGGCACAGAGCTCTTTGTCTGCCTTTTTAAGCTGTGTAATTTTCATTATTACCAGGCCAATTAAATGATTTGTTTATTAATGTCCTCCTTTTATCTTGTGGCATCAGAGTCTACATGCAATGGAGGCTCATGTAATGATCAAGTTCCTGCCCACTGTCTTGAATCAGCTGTTCCGGGTGCTAACCACTGCAACCCAAGAAGATGTGGCTGTCAATGTCACCAGGCAAGAATCAATAATAAAATAATAATATTAATTTTACTATTTACAGTAGTTAACAAGTTTGTGTTTCCTCTTAGAGTCATGATTCACATTGTTGCTCAGTGCCATGAAGAAGGCTTGGAGCATTACTTGAGATCATACGTGAAGGTAAAAAACTTGGACTAACGTCAGCTATATTTAACTGCATGTGTAATAGAGTAAAATGTTATAATATTTTACTTCTCTGCAGTATGTGTTCAAGACCGAGCCTTACACATCAGCCAATAGCAGAACAATTCATGAGGAACTGGCCAAAGCCATGACCGCCATCTTGAAGCCCTCCACTGATTTCCTCACGAGTAACAAACTGCTCAAGGTGATTAGTGCTAAATCGACTGATCATGACCACTTAACATACATGTGTCTCGTTAACAGTTCATTCTACTTTATTCTATAGTACTCCTGGTATTTCTTTGAAGCGCTGGTCAAGTCCATGGCTCAGTATTTGATTGAGAGTTGTAAGGTCAAGGTATGTATAGCCCATTTATAATGATCAACATATACTCAATAAGACAAAAAGATTTTTACCATTGTTTATGTATGTTTTATATTTCAGCTCTCCAGAAATCAGCGTTTTTCTGCATCCTTCCATCACACGGTAGAGACTCTGGTCAATATGATAATGCCGCATATTACCCAGAAGTATAAAGACAATCTGGATGCAGCCCGAAACGCCAACCTCAGCCTTGCAGTCTTCATCAAGGTTAGAATTCACAATAACAATGCATTTGATTGTTCTTTAAATTTATAATCATTAACATAAACTTTCTTCATCCATTTTGCAGAGATGCTTTAACCTAATGGACAGAGGCTTCATCTTCAAGCAGATCAACAACTACATGAACTGTTTTGTGCCTGGAGACCCAAAGGTAAAGCTCACAGAAAACCAATGTGCTTGTATTTTAATTACACAAAATTGACTCTTGTGAGCTTTAAGCCATGTTATAATGGTGTTAGCTCATCAAAAACATACCTGGACTTTTCTGGTTTTGTTTCATTCACATGTTTGAGTAACCCTGGTTTATTAGTTTGCTCAGAATGCTCTGTTTCGCATCGTGTCATGAAGTGGCAGTTTTCAAGTAAACCATTAGCTTTTACCTAAATGAATCTAGTGAAGGAGTTTACACAGTGAAGCACTTTCTGTACTACTACATGACATCACAAAGTGGAACAGAGTGTTTTCTGTTTGAGAGAAGAACTAATTCAGCAGGATTTTTGTGTTAAACATGTGCGAAATAAACAATACAATACTCTAAGTATATTTGTGATGAGGAACTAAGATTATAACAAATCAGAATATTGCATAATATGGGCCCTTGAGGTTTTATCATGAAATTACTTTTTAATTTACAGACATTGTTCGAATTCAAGTTTGAGTTTCTACGTGTTGTGTGCAACCATGAACACTATGTGCCATTGAACCTGCCTATGCCATTTGGAAAAGGAAGGATACTGAGATTTCAAGGTAAGGCAACACAAGTATCATCTTTTCTATCTTAACTGATATGCTATCAATTGTTATTTTACTATACAAAATGCATGGTCCTTCTGTGTTTCTACATTAGATGTATTGTCTCAGTACAATACAGTGGAGTCTGATAATGAAGTAGGTAGGTGAAAGTTCTGCTGCCTGTCTGTCACTTAAAACGCTGCAGACGTCAGTCTAATCAAAATTTGTTTCATGTTTAATCAAAGAATCAGAATTTGTTATAATCTTATGTTTCATGTCCTGTCTAAAGATCATATGCCAAAGAAAAGATTCAAAAAGCTTAGGTAAACATTCAACCTTGCATTCCAGGTTTTCATTCAACTTCATTTTTCTATGATATATTATTGTGTGTGAGATTGCTGGGCTTGGTTTTCATATAAATAAACCCTGACAGCTGCCTCTGTTTAATCACTAGCTCTAATCCTATTTGTCCACAATAATCAAAGCTGATGTGGAGCAACTCTCTGACACCACCTGCATCTGCCAAATGTCAGTCGATGTCTGTCTTTTTGTGTTTACAGGCTGTCAGACAAATGATTATCAAGAATATTTACAGTTGTTTATAGCTTTAAAGAGTTTCTGTAAAGTTGTTTATGTGATTCCTTGTCCACCTCTCCTAATCTCCTCGTGTCTTGCTGGTCCTGGCAGATTTCCAACTGGATTACTCTCTGACAGACGATTTCTGTAAAAATCACTTCCTGGCCGGACTGCTCCTCAGGGAAGTGTGTGCAGTGCTGCAGGAGCCTAGGGAGATCCGTCAGATCTCCATCCATGTGCTGAAGAACCTGATGATCAAGCACACATTTGATGACCGCTACACCTCCAAGGTACACACTGAGGTCTCATTGTCACAATTATCGTATATTAGTCAGATTCTGGGCCTTGTTCAAGACATCATATTGTGTTTCAGAGCCAGCAAGCCAGACTGGTCACTTTGTACCTCCCCCTGTTTGGCCTGCTTCAGGAGAATGTCAACAGGCTGAATGTGAAAGAGGTTTCCCCCTGTACAATTAACCATTCCAACAATGTAAGACTGCCATCTAGTGGTTTGAGTGGGAACATTTATCAGCGTCAGATGTAATGGATGTAATTGTATGTTATTGATGTTTTAGAATGGGAAAGAGGAGTCCCTCTTCACCAATTCTTTGATGACCCCTCCAAGATCCAGCACTTTTTTGGACACCAGCTTGCACAAAGATGTCTTTGGAGCTATCTCTGGTGACTTAATAAAATAATAAAATAAACATAAAAGTTTTTTCTATTCAGTTATGAAATTAACAGTAAAACTTGTCACAGCAGCTTCACCTCACACCTCATCCACTCCAAACATTAACCTGGTGCGAAATGCAGATTCCCGGGGCTCCCTCATCAGCACCGACTCTGGGAACAGCCTGCCAGAGAAGAGCAATGACAAGAGCAACTCCCTAGACAAGGTACACCACATCAAATATGACTAGATTGATCTAGGTTTTACTTACTATTTTATATACTAAATTAATAGTTACATGAATGAATACAATTCAATTATTTTTTCCAGTTTATAAAGGTTAATTGATGGGAAGGGAAATTCCTCTACAAACAAACATTATGTAAATGTAAAAGTAAACAAACCATTATAAAATCTATTATTTGTGTGTCATTACTAAACACATGCTTGTTAGATGGAGGTATTTATACAGAGACACTCACTGGCCCAGATGCTGCAGGGCCTCTTGAGTCTATGTTCTCCAAATGTGAAAAGTGTGTCACTGTGGACTTGTCCCTGCTCTGTGGCTCATGTGAGCCTGAACAACTACTACTGTCTGTGTCCCACCTCGTAGTGTGGAGTCTGTGTGGCGCCTCAGTAGAGAGTGGTGAACTCTGAGCCCTTTCATGTCTACATAATCTCAGGCTTTAGTGTGTTCTCCTGAGAATCCTCCTGACATTGGCTCTATCTGACCTTCTCTGGAGGCTGATAAGCTGCGCTCTTAAGAGGTTTACCTCTTATTTGCTCTACACTTTCTTTGTGTTGACTTGATAATGAAGAAAAAAACATAGCACTTTTAAGACCTTTTCAGCATAAACAGATAGTTTATAAAGCCCAAACAATCCTATACTTCAAATACAGTACTTCAGATAAAACACTTATTCAGTGAAAATCCTACCATGCATCATTTGGCTCCTCATAATTTATCAAGCTTAATTCACAGTTGCTTCATGTTTTCCATAATGTTATCAGTTTTAAACATCCTCACACTGCACATTTTCTTTTATACCAACCAACCACTTGGTGGTGCTGCTGCTTTTGGTCTCTGCTTTTCTCTTCAAAAGCAAAAGTGTTTTTTGTGTTGACATAAAATCTGTACAAAGAATAGGTGTGAATGACCAAAAGGTTATGTGCTGAATTTTGCAGAACCAGCCTCTGTCCACGGTGGGAAACACACTCCTGAGAGGAGACAAGCTGGACCAGACAGAGATCAAGAGTCTGCTCATGTGCTTCCTGCATGTGCTTAAAAGCATGTCTGAAGGTAACAGTATCACAGCATCGCATTACATAGATTTAATTTAAATGAAGGTTAAGTAACGATAAAATGAAAATGATTATGTTTCAGATGCTCTGTTCACTTATTGGAACAAAGCCTCTTCTGCTGAACTGATGGACTTCTTTACCTTGTTAGAGTGAGTCGTTTAGACTATGCTGATGGACATGATACTGTCTGTGTTTGAGTTGTATTATATAATATGTTTTATGTTTTCTTAGAATATGCCTTCATCAGTTCAGATATATGGGGAAGCGATACATAGCAAGGTAATGTAGTCAATAGACATCATTAAAATTATATCATAGTATATTATTTTTGTAGTTACAGTTGTCACAAATGTGGTTGTAAAGATGCTTAGCTGAAAATAACCACATTCAAAGCAGACAAAAGAAAAAGAAAACAAAACAAGTATTTGAACATTTCACTATATATATATATATATTTATATAATATATATATTCTGGTTAGCCAGAGGTGTGAAATGAAATTTGTTACTTGGTGCAGCCACTCTGTAAGCCTGTCCATAGAGGGTATAGCTCTTTTTATAAATGCATACTGTATTAAGGGACACCTTTGAGATGCTTGGCCTAGTGTCTCATAGGGCTTTGAGTATTTCCTCTAACATCTCACTACTGTCTTCACTTGTGTTTACTTAAATGCTGACAAGTTTAACATAATGAAATAAGCCTGGCTCCTGCCCTCTCCCACCTGGGTAAGAACAAAGGTGCAACTCACATCCTCTAACTGCATGTGCATGGTTTTTACTAACATGCATGGCCTTGATATTAATCCTTCTTACGCTCTTTCTTTAAGTTGCCTGACATTTTGCACATAAACTTCACAGCTCTATATTCACATCTACCCAGAACTGTCCTAGCTGCTTTCTAACATACTAATGGTGGCTATGTTAAAGGCTGATCATCAGTCATGTGACATTGTGCTGTTGCCTCATCAGGAACCAGGATGGGGCAGGACCTGTGGCACATGAGCGGAAGTCTCAGACTTTGCCTGTGTCCCGTAACAGGGCAGGAATGATGCATGCCCGTTTACAGCAGCTCAGCAGCCTGGATAACTCATTCACATTTAACCACAGTAAGTGTGCCATTCAAGTGTTCATCAAATGTCCCCTTTCAACCAGAGAAAAACATCTGTGATTGTTAACATAATATCGTCAGGCTGCTTATGGTTTCTACTTGCCTCCATTCGTCATACATCCTACTCATGGCTGACCAAGGCTTAATAAAACAGTCCATCACTCACCAAATTAAATCAGTTATTTTCTTAGGGAAATTCTAAAGGCCGTTTAGATATGTGGTCTACTGATCTACTGATTTTGTGTAATAAAGTATCTTTGATTTTTCAGTGTTAAAAAGATTTCAAGTATTGGAATATCTGTAGATCATGGTAAGAGTGGACAACTTTAGAGACAATGTTACTGTTAAAAGCTCTTTCACTTGAAATGTGAGCATGTTGTTTATTTATAGTTGGCCCTCAAATGTCTGTGCAGAACTACAAGTTCTCCTCTACAAGCTTTTTCCAAAGAAGAACATTTGTTAGCTGTAAAACTTTTAGAGGGAAGTTGCATGTGTCATTGTTTTCTTTGGCCAGAAACTCTTTACTTTACCTTACCTCAACTGATCCATAGATTGTGCTTTTGGATTAAATATATGTATGTATAAACAGTGTTGGGAAGGTTACTTTTAAAATGTATTCCCCTACAGATTACAGATTATATACCCCAAAATGTAGTTTGTAACGTAATCTATTAAATTACTTAAAGCGAGTAACATAATCTGAATACTTTGGATTACTTGATTTGGTGTAGAGAAGCAAAGACTAAGATATCGTAACATCAGATGTTTTGTCTGATAAAAGACAATAAAAAAGCCCAGACTTTACTTAACCACATTAAAAATATTATTGATAGAAGAAGAGGAAACACGGTCCACGCAGCATGATTTAGTCCTGTTAAATCCTGTTTTAGTCCTGTTTTAGTCCTGGTTTAGACCTGGTTTAGATCTAGTTTAGACCTGGTTTTAGTCCTGGCTTAGATCTAGTTTAGACCTGGTTTTAGTCCTGGTTTAGACCTAGTTTAGACCTGGTTTTAGTCCTGGTTTAGACCTAGTTTAGACCTGGTTTTAGTCCTGGTTTAGATCTAGTTTAGATCTAGTTTAGACCTGGTTTTAGACCTGTTTTAGACCTGGTTTAGACCTGGTTTAGATCTAGTTTAGACTTGGTTTTAGTCCTGGTTTAGTCCTGGTTTAGATCTAGTTTAGACCTGGATTTAGTCCTGGTTTAGTCCTGTTTTAGACCTGGTTTAGACCTGGTTTAGATCTAGTTTAGACCTGGATTTAGTCCTGGTTTAGTGCTGTTTTAGACCTGGTTTAGATCTAGTTTAGATCTAGTTTAGACCTGGATTTAGTCCTGGTTTAGTCCTGTTTTAGACCTGGTTTAAATCTAGTTTAGACCTGGATTTAGTCCTGGTTTAGTCCTGCATTAGACCTGGTTTAGATCTAATTTAGACTTGGTTTAGTTTCCAGCAATGAGTGTAATTACTGAAAAAAAAAAAAGGGGGATATAGCCCAAAATGTGAAAACAGGAAAATACCCCCATGTAATCCATTTATTTCTACAAAGTAACTGTAATCCAATTACCACTCATTGAAACAGTAACTGTAACTGAATACAGTTACTCATAATTTGTACTCTGATTACGTAACTCTGGTACATGTAATCTGTTACTCCCCAACACTGTGTATAAACTACCTGGCTGCTGTACAAATATCTCTTTATGTGATGCAATGATTTGGTTGTGATCCTGTTTTTTTTTAACCCTGCAGCTTACAGTCACTCGGATGCAGATGTGCTGAACCAGTCTCTCCTGGAGGCAAACATCGCCGAGGTCTGCCTCACTGTTCTGGACACTCTCAGTATCTTCATCATGGGATTCAAGGTAGCACTTATTACAATCTTTATTTTTGCATTATTGTTTTTTACACCATGTTATAACCTCAGTTTTCTGACTGCAGACACAGCTGTGCTCAGACCATGGTCATAGTCCACTCATGAAGAAGGTTTTTGAAGTGCACCTCTGTTTTTTGAGGATCAACCAGTCAGAAACTGCACTGAAGCAGGTCTTTACCTCACTGCGCACCTTCATATATAAGGTAAAAGATGTTAGTGTGTGTGTGTACAAATACCTTGGTTCACATATTGACTCTGCCGTTTCTCTTGTAGTTTCCCTGCACATTTTTTGAAGGCCGTGCCGACATGTGTGCCTCATTCTGCTATGAAATCCTGAAGTGTTGTAACTCCAAGCTGAGCTCCATACGCAGTGATGCAGCTCACCTGCTCTATTTCCTCATGAAGAGCAACTTTGACTACACTGGTCGCAAGTCTTTTGTTCGAACACACTTGCAGGTTTGTTTGTTTTTTTTTTGTTTCTTTGTTTGTTTTTTGAGCTAAAAAAAGAAAGTAACGCAATCTTTTGACTTTATAATTGCAGGTGGTGATTGCTGTCAGTCAGTTGATTGCCGATGTCATTGGAATAGGAAGCACGAGGTTCCAACAGTCTTTGTCAATAATTAATAACTGCGCCAACAGCGACAAAACCATTAAGGTCAGAATCACCCTGTTTTTCTATTGCCTTTGTAACTATTTCTGTGAATTTATATGATCACTATCCTCCACAACAGAATACAGCCTTCCCATCTGACGTGAAGGACTTGACGAAACGTATCAGGACAGTTCTGATGGCCACAGCACAGATGAAAGAACATGAGAGAGACCCAGAGATGCTCGTGGATCTGCAGTACAGTCTGGCCAAGTCTTATGCCAGTACTCCAGAGCTACGCAAGACCTGGTTAGACAGCATGGCTCGCATCCATGTGAAGAACGGAGACCTGTCAGAGGTAAGGGATAATTCACTTCCTTACAATTTTGGGCTTCATTCATAGTTATTAATCAAGATACTTTGTTCATTTACAGGCAGCCATGTGCTATGTGCATGTGGCAGCACTTGTAGCAGAATACCTAGAGAGAAAAGGTATTTTATTTGTTATATACATAATACTATAGGTGTATTTGATTTTCACTTCTCAGTTAAAAAACATGATCTTCCCATCTGCAGGCATGTTCAAACAGGGCTGTTCAGCGTTCCGGGTTGTAACTCCAAATATTGATGAAGAAGCAGCCATGATGGAAGATGTTGGGATGCAAGATGTCCACTTCAATGAGGTATTTTTATTATTATTATTTTTATATTATCATTATTATTATTTATTCCCTGTTGTTCCCAAGCCGACAAAATGGCACTAAAACATATTGTCTCACCGCTGCCCCTTCAGGATGTTCTGATGGAGCTGTTGGAAGCGTGTGCAGATGGACTGTGGAAAGCAGAACGCTATGAGCTCATTTCTGACATCTACAAACTCATCATCCCTATTTATGAGAAGCGCAGGGACTTTGAGGTAAACCTCTTATTCCATATATAATATGGAATTTCCCCATTTTTATATACTAACATTTCCCACTATTTGGTCATTGCTTAGAAACTGGCCCACCTGTATGACACACTACATCGTGCCTACAGTAAAGTGACTGAGGTCATGCACACTGGGAAGAGACTTCTGGGGACATACTTCAGAGTGGCCTTTTTTGGTCAGGTAAATATCAACAATGTTTGACTATTTATGTAATCTTTAGATACCTAAACATGCACTCAGCATAGAGCATATTTAAAATGTTGAGGAAAATCTAATAATTCACCATCCCTATTCACTTTTTTTCTCCTTTAAAGGCTGCGGTAAGTTGTGCTGTAGTCCTTGCTTGGTTTTGTTTGTGCTTTTACAACTGATTTTACTGCTCAGCCCCTATTTTAAAATAAGTTATGTATTTATAATACAATTAATTTATGTGTTTCAATATATTAAACCTTGGGCTGGGCAATTAGTTAATTCATTTGATTAATCTGTGTGTGCTTAATAGATTAAAAAATTACAATGTCATGATGAATCGATGAGTTTACTCCTGACTTTCTAACTTACAAAGCAGGCTTATTGTGCAGCTAAACAACTGGTATTGCAAAAAATCTTGTTAAGGCATTTCTTAACATTTCTTAAATAATAGTATCGATATGATAAAAATGAAAATGTTCCCGTGATTGAAAGACTGACAATCATTGCCCTGACTTCAAGTACAATAGATTTCATAATGATCATAATCTTCCAGTTTGTGCACAAAAATAAAGAGTTTATACTTTGGCCATATCACCCAGCTCTTATTAAATCTATATTGCATGGTGCTTGCCTGCCACAAAAACATGTGTTGGCTTGTTTACTTTTACTTTTCTTCTTATTCAAATTTAAAGGAACTTACAGTTTAATAGTTAAAAATGCATAACAAAAGGCTTTCTCCCTGTGTGCTCTGTTTCACTCCCAATGCTGTAATGTCAAATATGCCTTGACATTCTAAAGCTGTACTAGCCATTGTAGTATACTGAAAATGTTACAGTTATCCATAAGTAAGGAATAACATTGCATTTATTTCTCTATTCTTTTAGCATTACCAGTTTACAGATTCAGATGTTGAGGTAAATCAGTGCTGTTGCAGTTAGTTGTCTGCAGTGATGTACTGGGTCATTGTTGTCTAACCAATAAAACCTTGTATAGCTTTTTAATTCTGTAGTTTATAGCTGTAGTAAAGCCCTAAAAATGCTAATACCAAATTTGCTTCTCAATAGTAAAAAGCATGGCCCATTAAATCGGACATAACATCCATTGACAAAGTAGCCCCAACTCATAGATAGTGGTCTGTAGGATGTGCTGTATTTGTGCAAAGATATTAGTGGGACTTGCATAGCCCATATGTTAATAGATTTGCTTGCTGACTTTGCACAAAGCTGTTTGATCATTGTGTTTTAATGTACATTTTTTTCAATTTCCAAGGGTTTTTTTGAGGATGAAGATGGTAAGGAATACATCTACAAAGAACCCAAATTCACTCCACTTTCTGAAATATCCCAAAGACTGCTGAAGTTGTACTCTGAAAAATTTGGACAAGAAAATGTGAAGATGATTCAAGATTCTGGAAGGAGTTAAATAAACGTATTTTGTAATTCCTTAAACATATTAAGATGATCAATGACTGTGTTTTTGTAGATTAATCCTAAAGACCTGGATTCCAAGTATGCATACATTCAGGTGACACATGTAACACCATACCTGGACGAGAAGGAGGTGGGCGACAGGAAGACAGACTTTGAAAAGAGTCATAACATCCGCAGATTTGTGTTTGAGATGCCCTTCACCATCTCAGGCAAAAGGCAGGGGGGTGTGGAGGAACAATGCAAACGTCGGACTATACTAACCAGTAAGTAACCACAGTGAAGGACCATAATGGGAATAGCTGTTTTGGTCAATGATTTTATTTTTAAAATCATGAAAGCGAGTTAAGGCGAAAGCCTGTTGTATTTGGGCAATCCAGGCTTATCAAAGTCTCAGTTCCACTCCTCCAAAGTGACTAACCAGAGGTGGTGGTGAGTTGCCACAGTAACAAGTACCCGGAAACAAACCTGGTTGGGACGAGACTAAATGTCAAGATTATTTTAGCTCTGTCTCCATGAACAACTAAAGAAACAGTTTAGTCAAAAGTTTCAGCACTTGCAGTCACATACATGTGTTAGAACGCCTGTCTGTGTGTGATACAGTTGAAAAAGTGACTTTTATAGTGTCGCTATTTCACATGTCGCTTAAGACTTTTACAGTCCATACGCTCCTATGCACGGGACACGTGTGTGGACACTCCACTCATCAAAAAGGCACAAATCATATAAAAGCCTATGGCCATTATTTCATTAAAATGATCTTGCACATGTGGCTGTTGTGAAGGGCAGCGCAGCCTTTACACACAGACAGACACTGTCTGTATGTGAGAGGAGGGGAGTGAACAGGAGAGGAGGGGAGTGAACAGGAGAGGAGGGGCGAGTCGTGTCTTCCCTCTCGCTCCTCACATCAGAATAACTGGAAAAGTTCAAGAGCCCAAATCAAACTCTGCAGGTGCGCACTGTAGCTCTGCTCTCGTTTAAAATAAAAAACATCACATTTTTGGCCCATCTTTTGTGATGTTTTTGCTCGATTGATCTGGCCTTTCCAGAGTCACCTCAAGTGTGCACAAAATGCATCTTAAACTCCAGACTTGAATTAACTTTGGTTAGACCCAGGATTATTTCTGTCAACGACTGGAGGCTTAAGCTAAAGATGGAGCTAGATTCAGCTCAGGATTTCAGGATAAACCTGGATTTGTTAAGCCACTTTGATGGAATACACCCCTAGTGTGCATGGCTTTGTTTACATGCAATTTGATCATTATCTTATTTCTGGAGTTATCACAATTTCAAATGTCATTTAAGGGCACATATTACCCTGTTTTCTGATCTTTGTTATAATGTTGTTTCCTCATCACAAACATACCTAGAGTTTGGTTTTGTTTCATTTACACAGGTTTAATAACACACAAATCCTGTCTATTTAGGCTGAGTTCCTCTCTCAAACAGAAAGCCCTCTACAGGAAGTGCTCCACTGTGTTTTTAAACTCTATACACTTTCATATTTGGATGATTTTAGCCCTCTAATTATTGTATTATATTTATTAAAAGTTTTTTTTTCTGTAAAACATTATACCACTATAGTCATTTTATAATTAATCAGTTTCATTATGTAAGAAATATGGCTTTATGCTCATTATTTTTATATTGGCACATTGTATTGTACACAGTATCCCCCTTAATACAACACAGATAAGGTATTTTAAATGAGCAAATATAATTTTAAGACTCAAAGTGAGGTGTTGCTGTTGACTTTCTTGTTTAGTTTGCAGAATCATCCTTTGTATGCACTATGATTAGAATCTGAAAGTGTCAGCTGTTTGTCAAGGTTTTCTTCTAATCACGTTTTTACTCTTTTATGATTCTCAAGTTCCAAAAGTTCAAACCTGTCTTATCTTTATGGACCCTTTAATACATTGTACACCAATAAACAAATACACTTAATTATTTGCTTTTCTCCTCAGCCACACACTGCTTCCCTTATGTGAAGAAGCGCATTGCCATCATGTACCAGCACCACACTGACCTGAGCCCTATTGAGGTGGCCATAGACGAGATGAGTAAAAAGGTGGCTGAGATAAAGCAGCTCTGCTCCTCTAGTGAAGTGGACATGATCCGCTTACAGCTCAAACTCCAGGGCAGCATCAGTGTCCAGGTGCCTACCATAAATCACATATTAAAATACTTTAATAGTACTATAGATTTGACAATATTTGTATTTTATTTTAGGTGAATGCAGGGCCGCTTGCATATGCCAGAGCTTTTCTAGACGATTCCTGTGCCAAGAAATATCCAGATAACAAGGTCAAGCAGCTCAAAGAGGTCTTCAGGTGAGGTCCCATAATGCATTCTGGTTTGTTTTTGCCATTAACTGTGTATTAAGATGGTTGCTTTTTTGCAGGCATTTTGTGGAGGCTTGTGGTCAGGGTTTGGGCATCAATGAGCGATTAATTAAAGAGGACCAGCAGGAGTACCATGACGAGATGAAGGCCAACTATAGGGACCTGGCCCGAGAATTGTCCATCATCATGCACGAGCAAGTAGGTGCTTTGTCTGGACCAAATCATATGTTTGTGTGTGTGTATGATCTACAGAAAGAATTGACACGTGACATGCACACTGTTTGTCATGTGGTAACATGGTTTTCTCTTCCCTGTGCTGACATGAGCAGATTGGATGGTAAAGTTTGACTTGTATGCAGTGAAAATACATGGTTTGGTGTTGGTCCAGCCAGAGAAAACAATTCAGTCATAATCGATATATATATATATATATATACTATATATATATATATATATATATATATATATACATATATATATATATATATATATATATATATATATATATATATATATATATATAATAATGTAAATAATTTACATTACTATTAGAATTACAATACAAATGTCAAATGTTAAACAACAGCGTTGGCACGTCCTAGATTTGCTGTGTTCTATTGAATAATATTATATGTTATATAATAAGCATCTGATCATTACCAACACTTCAGTCTTATCTTAACATATTTTACAGTCAATAAAAGTTCACACATGTCTGGCTCACAGCCATATACCAATAGCATGAAAAGCTATTCCTATATTCTGTCCTTATTCAACTGGCCAGGTCAACAATGTTTGGGAATTTTGCACGTGCTTATCTGAGCATGCATACATCTGCTGTGTGTGCTCATCAAAAGACATATAAGATACAGCGTATGTTTTCAAATTCTTGCATCCAGCACATTTCCATGTTTGATGTCATGTTCTCATATTTGTTTGTTATGCGGGGCTGCTTGTGGTGCAGTGGTTAACCCTTGTTTAAAGAAGATTGTTGGTTTTGCAAAAGCTTAAATTCTGCTACCGCCATCATGCACTCTTCAGAGAAAAAAATTTATGCTAACTTATATTTGTACTTCTCATATCACCCCAAACCATTTAAAAATCTAACTTTTGTTTGTTCATTTATTTATTTATTTTTATGTCTTTCCTCAGATCAGTCCAGTGGAAGATGGCATGAAGAGCCCCCTGCCAGATTCACTGCACATCTTTAATGCCATCAGTGGCACCCCGACCAGTGCCACCATCCAGGGCATCCCCAGTTCCTCCTCTGTGGCGTGACCCCGGACCACTACCATTGGGCCAGCAAGGCTAGGTTTGCTCTGCTAGTCAAAACAGAGATATGTCAATCATGGGAGTCCTAGAAAACCACTGGCGCTAAGCAAACTGTGGTGCAGACTGAGAAGCGCATGGCAGTAAATGAGAGTGCTACACAGGAAACAGACCTCAGGGTCAGATATGAAGAGTGGCTGGACTTTGCCTCCACATTGTGTCTGCAGTCGCTCATTCAACTATGCATGTCATCACATCCAATTTGTGTTTTCTATGTTGACATTTTTTGTTGTATATGTACAGTATTCTTTTTTAAGCCTGTTTATGGACAGTTATTTGCCCTCTGTTCTTTTATGTGTTTTTATGTTTTTTTAATCACAGTAAGTCTTAGAACAGAGAGAGTTGTGTAATACAGTATATGTTTAAAGCCATGGCATACCAGAAGTATAATGTTTATTTATGTACATACAAAGGACTTTGTGCAATATTTGCAAAAAGAAAAATGTGCTGGGGCCCATACACTGTAAAAGTAAAAACATTCACCTTCACGCCAAAGCAATGAAGTGTGAATCCAGACAGTACACCCACTGCAGAAGTACTATGAAGCTTTTACCATTTTAATGTTAATTTAATTGTTTATACATTGTTTTATATTTTGGGGCATAATGTCTTTTTTATCTTTTTATTTATCTGAAATGTCAACATTCTGCTGTAAACAGAAATGTTCCCTGTAGCTTTTTTTGTTTAAATAAAATACACAAACATAAATGAACATGTTCATGTATTTGTCATGTATGGAGATATTTGAAATCAGTGCCATTATGATGTTGTTCATTATACGGAAGTCCATATCTTCTGTTCCCTCCCACCATAAAAAGATTAACTGTCAGCAGTGGGTTCAGATCAGGGGCTAATAAGCAACTATTACCTCTGAGTGAAGCAGGACAGGATCCATCTAGAGGAGTGCTACAACCACCACCATGACGGGTGAGTTTATACTAATTTAGTTAATAGTATTTAGTATAAAATATAGATAAATGTCCTAATAACCTCTTTAACACTGCTCCATTAGGCAATTAAATTATTTTACATTCACAATTCACAATCATTTATGCAAGAGTGGATATAGATGTAGTCTTTCTAGGTATTTGTAAAGGTAAATAACTATTTACTTTGTAACAGATAAAGAAAAAGAAGTGCTCAAGAAGGAGAAGAGAGGCAAGGTAATATCTGTAGACTTACGCTTTTATTTTATTATATCATGCCATATGTATCATAGATCAGTAATTCAACTGTGCAGTTTAATTGATGCCATATAAAATGGGAAAGCATCGCTATAAAGATAAAACAAAATATCTTTTGTCCTGAATTGTGAGAGTCCAGTTTTTCAACCAAGATACAATGCTAATATTGTTATGCATTTCTGTCCATTAGGGTCCAGTCATATGTGGTTACCCCCTCAGCATTTTCTTCATAGTAGTTAATGAGTTCTGTGAAAGGTTTTCTTACTATGGCATGCGAGGTGAGACTAAACATCTTTAAACACATGTCTGTCTTGCATCATTATATTAAAACAAAGCTTGTCTTTCCAATCAGCTGTACTTGTGCTGTACTTTAAGTACTTTTTGAATTGGAATGATGATTTTGCAACATCCATCTATCATGTCTTTGTGGCCCTTTGTTATTTGACTCCAATCCTGGGGGCCATTGTGGCAGATTCATGGCTAGGAAAGTTCAAGTGAGTAAGAGAAATATGTGAGATGCAAGGTAACAAGATGAAGTCATGTACTTCTACAGATCAGCTAAACTGCTCCTTTACGTGTCTCTTCAGGACTATCATATACCTGTCCATTGTGTACGCTTTGGGTCAGATCGCGATGGCCATCAGTGCCATCCATGACATCACTGACCAAGACAGGAACGGGACTCCAGACAACATGACCTTTCATGTGTGCGTAAACTACACCATAAACCTTCATTTTACACTGTACACACAGTAACGTTTTATGGGCATGTCCTCAGGGTGCTGTCTATGGTGGGCCTCTTCCTGATTGCTCTGGGCACTGGTGGGATTAAACCTTGTGTGGCGGCCTTTGGTGGAGACCAGTTTACTAATGAACAGGTGACTTCTGCTTTATAGTCAGACTTGAATATACTCTTTATGGGTATGTGTATAGACTGGGGTGTAAAAATCTTTCTTGAGCATTTCTTAAAGACCACTTTGGCTCTGTCTTCCTCCACTCTCCTGAATTTAATTATGGCCCAGTGGAAAAATATTGTCCACTCCTGGTATATCACGTGTACATCATCTAGAGCAAACAGGATTTAATTTTTTTTTTTTTTTCAATTACAAAAGTGAATGACAACAGAAAAACTATTATTTAAATGCTTTATTTATTTATTGTACATGTTTGATATAGGAAAATCAAAGAAGAACATTCTTCTCTGTCTTCTACCTGTGCATCAATGGAGGGAGTTTACTGTCCACCATCATCACTCCTATCCTCAGAGGTACTACAGGACAGTGCTACAGTACAGTAGAGTACAGTACTGCTCAGAACAGTATTAAAACCATTGTATCTAAATAGGCACTATGTCTGTAGTGATCAGAACAATGTAAGAAGTACAGAAAAGGTTTTGAATAATAGGTTTGATAATTCAATAAAATCCTTATGGTCATCTTTATACAACCTCACTATGAGAATATAAACGAATAGCACAACTCAAATTAAGTATCTTTGTAGCATTGTTTCAAACATAGATTTTATTCATATAGTCAATTACTGATTTACTGGATGTCTTCAGAAACATATTCACATCATATTTGCAGCCCAGCAGTGTGGCATCCACACAAAGATGGAGTGTTATCCTCTGGCATTTGGTGTCCCTGCTGCGCTCATGGTGGTCGCTCTAGGTATGTCTTTGTCAGACTCTCAAAACAGGCCATTAATAAGTGCTGTGATTCTTATGATATTTGTATCTCCTACAGTGGTGTTCATTGTGGGAAGTCCAATGTACTTCAAAGCAAAGCCACAGGGAAATATCATGCTGGATGTGTGCAAGTGTATTGGGGTAAGTTACACAAGAATATAATTAGGCCTGTCACAATAATAAATGTTAAAGCACAATATATTGCTACAGACATATACTATTATAAACGATACTATTGAAACTACTTTATGCCACTGACACAAAGCAGGATAATCCCAGTAAATCAATTTTTAAAGAGACCGTATCATTAAACAGCCTGAGCTGCAACAAATAAATGGCAGAATCGATAACTAGCCATACCAGTTATGTATTTTATTCTCTACAGCTCAAATCTTACATTATTACATAAAAATAACTAATCCCCCCCACAATTGCAAAGAAATAATACCCATGATGAATATTATTAGAACTTTTATATATAGAACGATAAGTCAATATTGTAATTATTGTGACAGGTCAGAATATAATTACTGTAAACAAGTTAAAATAATCCTTCATAAGTGTTTTTTTGTTTTGTTTTGTTTTTTTTTTGTTTTTTTTCTAGTTTGCTATTAAGAATCGCTACAGACACAGAAGCAAGCGATATCCAAAGAGAGAACACTGGATGGACTGGGCAGAGGAGAAATATGGAGTAAGTGACGAAGCTGGATTTCATTTCAAACTAATATTTGTTGTAAAATTACTAAAATGTACTTTGTGTTATACAGAAACTTCTGATAGCACAGATCAAAATGGCACTCAAGGTTTTGTTTTTATACCTACCACTTCCTATGTTCTGGACCTTGTTTGACCAAAAGGTACTGTTACTGGTACTATTGCCACTTTACTACCACTATTTCTACTACTTTTAAAATCTGATATGTTTAACTGTTTTTAAGGGTTCAAGATGGACACTACAGGCTACCACGCTGAATGGAGACTTTGTAAGTTACTGCATCAAAAACAGAAATAAATACATACATTAAAAAAATAAATAAATCTGTATCATTGCTATATTTATTTAGTTTTTTCTTTGTTTTTGTTTTTATGTAGGGTGCATTCATAGTCCAACCTGATCAGATGCAGGTAATTTCAGATGAATTTCATGCAACTCTTGCTTTTAATTATTTCTATCTAATAAAAACTACATGGCATTTACTTTTACAGACATTTAATCCCATTCTGATTCTGACTTTGGTGCCAATTATGGATAATGTTATTTATCCCTTAATTAAGAAATGTGGCTTAAACTTCACGTGAGTAAAAATAAAAATAAAAATTGCATATTATATTGTATATTTTTTCAAACTAAAGGAATGAGTTTGTAATAATCCATTTTACTGCAGACCCTTGAAGAGAATGACAGTGGGCATGTTTCTAGCAGCGATGGCTTTTGTCTGTGCTGCTGTGGTCCAACTCCAGATTGATGTAAGTATCTGACTGCACAGATGACATAAATTGGGAATAGAATCATGGATAGAATAAAGAAGAAGTCAATATTAATCTGTACATTTGTCATTATTGTTTTCCCTTTCAGAAAACTCTGCCCACTTTTCCATCAGCCTCCGAGAGCCAACTCAAACTACTGAATATGGCCCCGAACCAGATCAGTGTTCAGTTACCTGGCAACTCCCCACTGCAGCTTTCACCAAATCAGGTATGTTATTTTTGCATTGTTAGTTAATAGGGATGTAACGATATCCAAGTCTCACGATACGATATTGTCACAGTATGAACCTCACAGTACAATATTTATTCCAATATTGTGGGAAAGCTCACAAATTGGTAGGGATTAGGGACGTAGAAATATCCAAATCTCTCGGTACAATATTTTCACGATATACATCTCATGGTACGATATTTATTGCGATATTTTGTGGAGGCTCAAAACTGTTAATATGCTACTTTTTCCTCTTAAAATACCTTGATAAGACTTATTCCAAAAAACAAAGACTTAAAAGTGCTTAGAACTGTTATTTCCTCTTGTAGTCTACACTGAAATGGAGCAAAGGATCATGATCTATGTAGTTCTCTCTGCCTTTTTTTAGCTATTGCTGCACCTTGCTAACCCTTAATTTAAGCAAAGAGACTTGTAATTCATATATTGTGATGGTCCAAGATATTATTATGAGACTTTTGACACGATATTTCAGTTATTGTTACATCCCTATTAGTTAATGAATGCATTTGGACCAAAGTAACTCACCTGATCTGTGTTGATTATTAGGCCAGCCCTGAGTACTACACATTTGATACCGACACCGTTACAGTTTCCATAGGAAGTCCTCCTACTACCCGAACTATTGCCCTGACGAAGGGCAAGCGTCAGACTCTTCTTATTCCTGGAAATCTGGCTAATACGTGGGAGCTGGTGAGACACTCTTAAGTGCAGAGGTGAAAGAACATGAGTTATAAATGGTGATTTTAGTTCTAATTTTATTTTTGCTATTCCTAGACCAATGATTTAATCTCTAAACCTGAAAAAGGTGCCAATGCCATTCGGTAAGTACCACAAATCCACCATTAAAAGAAAGACATTGTGCAAGGCAATCTGCATTTGTTTTTAAGGAAGAAGTAATGAGTAGTAAAGGTCCAATATTACGCAAAATAACTCTTGTGACGTTCATGCCATGTTATAATGTTGTTATCTCATCATAAACATACCTAGAGTTGTGTTTTGTTTTATTCACACATGTTTGAGAACTTCTTTATTTTTACTCTGTGTCTGTATTTCCAAAGCTCAAAATCATTTAGTCCACCTTGTGATGTCATGAAGCGGTAGTTTTCAAGTTAACGGCTCCTTTTAGGACAGATCGGCAATTCCAGGAATCCAAATCATCTGTTTGAGAGAAGAACTCAGCCTAAATATGCAGGATTTGTGTGTTACAAATGTGTGAATGAAACAAAACCCAACTCCACCTCAATATGTTTGTGATGAGGAAACAACTTTAGAACATAGATCAGAGAATGGCATAATATGGGGCCTTTAAAGATGCACAATGTAACTTTTCTGGTGGGGGTAATCATTTGATAGATTGTTGCTTTGTCGGGAATGTTCGACAGTAAGACATAATATATTATAATTTCCTCTTCAGGTTTGTCAACGGCTTAAGTATTCCAATAAACATTTCAACAGCTCAAGTAGAGTTTGGAATCACTAACCCGTTTTTAGCCAGCAACTACTCGCTATTAAAGAATGGAAAGTACGTATCTTACACAATAATACGAAAAGAAACATCTTTTACTTCAATTTTCCTTATAACTGTCATGATGTTTAAATCTAGGCAAACCTTCACCTTCCTCTCCGCTTCTGAATCTTGTACTGTCGAGAAAGAATTTGGCTTTGGAAGCTCCTACACTTACTTCATCCCCAGTACTTTCACGTTCACAACAAATGTAAGACTCTACTCCTGCACAGTATAAAAAGTTGTGTTCTCTGTTCCCATTTTAAACTTTTTTATTAAACGTTTATGTTTGATTTTAGTGTGGGGAGGTGATTACTGAAGCAGAGGAGATCAAACCAAACACAGTGCACATGGCCTTGCAGATCCCACAGTACTTCTTTATTACTGCTGGAGAAGTCATGTTCTCTGTTACTGGACTTGAGTTTTCGTATTCGCAGGTAAACAAGAAATACTAAAATAAGTACTGCATACAAACAATACCATGGTTTTAAAGGTGCACTATGTTCTTTTTTATTGAAATTATTATTATTATTTTTATGGGTTCTTGAAATATTAGAAGAGGAGGAACTGACTTTAATCTTCATGTTCTATCACCAATCTAATCTAAAATAATCAATGAATGAATACCTGTAACACAGAAAAAATTTACCATTATGTCACCCGTGAACGGAAAAAACTCTGTATGTGGGCAGATCAAATGAAGAAAATATCTGTTGGTAAAAATATCTGGTCTTTTATTAGAAAAAAAAAAAAAAAAAGTTAGACGTCACCAGCTTGTCACCATGGAGATAGATAAGTTTAATGCAATATTGTAGAACATTATAAGCAAAGAAATATTGTTCTGATGCTCTGAAAATGATACTCTGGTCTGTTTCCATAGGCACCAAGCAACATGAAGGCTGTGCTCCAAGCTGGCTGGTTACTCACTGTTGCTGTTGGAAACTTTATTGTCCTGATTGTGGCTGAACTCGCTAAACTTCCCAAGCAGGTACAAACATATTTATACTTTCTTCATTTTCTTACTTTATTTCAGACATGTTAAAGTCAGGCCCAGGGGCTAAATTTGGCCTGCGGATTATATTTGACCCGCGAGATCATATCAAATATGTATTAGAGCTGACCTGCCGGCTACAAATGGGCTATAGAGACATTATTTATTTAAAATGTTGTTATTATTTTATATTATGCTTTTTCTGGATTCAGTGTTTAAGCAAAACTATCATTAAACATTTATTTGAAAAGATAAGAAAAGGTTTAACATTACATATCTCGAAAGAAGAGAAAACATAGCGATGTTGTTGAAATGTTTCAATAAATATTTAGTTTGGTCCATGATTTCATCCCATTTATTAATTTAGGCCCTCTGTGAATTTGAGTTTGACACTCCTGCTTTAATGAGATGTACTGTAGTTTCCATGTATCTTTCCCCAGAGATCAATGAGAACACTTTATAATAACTACATAATTTGTTCATTATGAATTAATTCTATCTTCATGCTTATATTAAGGTGGTTATTGTAGTGTAGAGTTGTCAAAAATATCCAAAATAAGATAATAATTTCCCCCTAATTTTCTCTCTTTCTCTCTCTCTCTCTCTCTCTCTCTCTCTCTCTCTCTCTCTCTCTCTCTCTCTCTCTCTCTCTCTCTCTATACAACACAACAATAACGCAGTGTAACTAGAATATTTTTTCAAGAAAAAAAAAAAAAATTGTGAATATAAAATACAAATTCTGAAAATAAAATATGTAATTAAACCAATATTTTGCCATTTTTCCTTCCCAGTGGACAGAGTACGTCTTATTCGCCTCTCTGCTGGTGGCAGTGTGCTTCATCTTCTCCTTCATGGCCTATTTCTACACCTACATAGACCCTGCAGAGATCGAGGCCCAGTTCACAGACAAAGTAAAACACGATGATGATGATGACGACGAAGATAAACCCAGGAAAAACTCAAAGTCTGAAATTGAGATGGTGAAACAAAAAGATGACCATGACAACCCACACCAAACCAAAATGTAAATATTTTGTAGCGCTGTTTTGTTTACCATTTTGTATTTGTAGAAACTTTAAAGGTGCACTGCCTGACTTTTCTGGTGGAGGGTCTGCTACCAGTTTGTCTCCATGGCGATGTTATTTCTTTGAGTGGAAAGTTCCATGGTACGACATTAAAAATATCTATCTAGCATGTATTAATTACGGGTGTTTCTATTACTCAAAAATACAACAATTCCTTCTGTGGATAGGGGAGACTCTCCACAGATCTGAATTGTAATGTAGCTAGATAGGTTTAATCTATACTATGGAACATTCTAGACAAAACAATAACATTTCCATAGAGACAAGCAGGTGGTGGACCCTCCGCTAAAAATGTTAAACAGTGCACCTTAAGTATATAACAGTGCATGTTTGGGATTATAAAAGTGATTTGAATCATTAGCTGTCATTGTTATTTTATTATATTGTATTTGAAATGACCAGAAAATCATCTGGGAATAAAGTTGTTTTGTCTAAACTTTTGCCAAACTGTGAAAATACATCAGTAAATAAAAGGATCGTGCAGGTGAGTGCCACAATAGAAAAAGAGCTTTTAGCCATGTTGTAATGCTGATACATCCTCAAAAAAATACCCAGAGTTATGTTTTGTTTTATTCACACATGTTTGAGTAATCTTGGTTTATTAGTCTGTCTACATCTCCAAAACTCAAAATGCTCTGTTCCTCCTTGTGATGTCATGTAGTGATCATTTTTAAGTTAACACCTCCTTTTACCTTTAGTTCAGTAGAGATTGGCAATTCCAGAGCCGAAATTATCCAAATGATTCTAGTGAAAGTGTGTGGAGTTTTAAAACACATGACATCACAAGGTGGAACAGAGCGTATTTAGTTTGAGAGAAGAACTCAGCCTAAATATGCAGGGTTTGTGTATTAAACATGTGTGAATGAAACAAAATAACCCTCCAGGTATGCTTTTGATGAGGAAAGAATATTATAAAAAAGATAAGAAAATAGCATAATATGGGCCCTTTAAAAACTAAAACATGAATGGTCTAGTGTATTGATATATTTAAATTGTTGAACTCTTTTCTTTGAATTAGCGTGAGTAATATATAAACTCTCACAGGAAATTAAAGGCCCTATCTTCTGCTTTGGTGTCAAAACTGCAAGAAACTGATGTAAATTGTTAGTAGTTTCTGAAATCCACAAGATACCTAATTATTAAGCATATGTAGGTGAATAAGAGAGACTACAAAATGGATTCAAACTAAAAACAACAATGTCTTTCTCAAGTTTCAAAGATTTAAAATGGGTTTTGTTTGGTCTAAAATGTGCAATATGAAAGGTTTTGTTTAATGCATGTGGTTAACACATGTTTTATGTTGACAGTAGAGGTTTTATCAGAAGTGTGCAGACGCAAGAACGTGTCAAGGGGCTGTGAATAAAATTGTACTTAGTCAAATCAGTAAAACATGAAAATCATCATTTAAAATATGATGAAGTAAACTGATATTTTGGAGATATTCAGAGTGAGAACAAGGTTAAGGACTACTCTTAGTCATATAATAATTCACAAAGAACACATTTATACAAGGGATTTTAAACTTGCATTCAAACATCCACTGACTCACTTAGATAAGGTGTGTAGGTGTGCTTGTGTCTTCCTCCAAGCAAGATCTATCTTAATCAGTGGGGAGGTCCCAAAACATTTAATCAGATCTTGTGAAACCGCTTATCACTTTATAATTTGCAACTGTCTATAAAAAATAAATACAAAAATGAACTACTAAATAATGAAAACTTGAGAGCATTCCTCTGAATTCAGTGGTGGAAGGAACACTCAATTTTGTGACTTATTTTGTTACTTCTTAAAAAGTAAAAGAACAGATACTGGAGCAAAGAAATATTCAAGTAAAAGTATCACATGAAAAAATCTACTTAAATAAAAGTATTAAAATACCTATTGTGTACTTCAAAAGTAAAAAGTACAACAGTTTTTCACTCAGATTTTGAGATCTTACGAACCTTCAAATGCAGTCATTTTGATACAGATTTGTACTGAATGTAGTTCAAAAGAAACAACTTAATCATTGTTTGCTCAAACCACAGATGTGTTTAAAATAAACCCTCAGCCTTTTCAGGATATTTCAAAAAATAATATAAAGTATATTTACTTTTCAGTTCTGTTTAAAAGTTAGTTAAAAGTTAAAAGTACAGATACCTGCTCTCAAATATAGTGAAGTAAAAGTAAAAAGTATCCAGTTTAAAATGTGTTTAAGTAACGTACAGCAAACTGTTTTTTTTAATTATTATTATTACTGCATCTTTTACTTCATTTACATTACACCACTGACAAACAGGAAGTGAGCTTTATCAAAGGGAAACTGGATGTCCTGTAAAAACATTTCTTTGTAAATACTTGTTTTTTTAGAAGCACGGCTGACTAAGCAGTTATAATGTCGCAATTTGGACACCATGCCAGCACAGAGTCAGCTGTGGAGCCTTATGCTCAAAGTGTAATATTAGTCCAGAAAGAGGAATTGGGCCAAAACATATTCAGCAGTACACAAAATCTCTAAACCTCTGAAGATCTAATGTCTCAATTTCAATTTTAATTTTCAAATTTCCCTTCAAAATCACAATGGAAATATTGATGGTGCAAATACCAATCTTGCCATACTAGGCTTATTTTATTATCAGTATGAGTCCGCAGCTACCCCCAAACCACAGGCCCCTATTGTACTTGCTGTTTATTAACCACAAACTACAAGTGCACCGGTACGCAATGTTCAATTGATCAACAACACAAAGACAGTTCAGACCTGGAAAATTACAATCTTTTCATCAGCGCTTTACCACAGCTGTCGACCTCTGCATATTTGGAGTTCAGCAAAATGATCTGCACACATCCTGCTGAATCAGAGTAGGATTAAAATGTTCAAATGCCAGCAGATGTTATTTTTACTGTAGTTTATTATAGATTTTATTCAAGTAAATGTGAGTTTAGTTTGCAGAAGTACCAACTAGTTTACAGATGTCAAAAGCTGTAGGTTTATTTTAAGATTATTCACAGTATCTCTTAGACTATAACAGAAATTGGGAGAGTTTCCAAAAATGTTCTCACGTAGGAGTATCATTAATTCAAAATATATATCATATTATTAATGTAAGAGTAGCCAAGAAAATTCAAGTTGAGCAGAGAATATTTGAGGAAAGAACTACTGTCTAGAAGTAAGAATAATTAACACTTTTTGAAAATACGACATTCAGTACAATCTTTTTATATTTATATGTTTTATATTTATATTATTAAATACAGTAATTGTTTTGTTTTGTTTGTTTTTTTACACATGTGTCAGCACTTCCTCCACCATGAGCTTTGGAGGGGGGTGTTGGGTGCACCAAAAAATAGGGTTCTGATCATGTGACCTGTTGCAGAGGAAACTGGGTGACAACGTCAGAGCCCGAGTGGGAGAGAGAGAGGCAGAGGTTTGTGTGGAAAGACGCTCAGAGGAAGACACAGGAAAATGACACATCACCATACACTGATCATTCACATTGGGGAGTCTGCGGGCACGGGCTCAGTGCGAGGAAATGGTGAAATAAGATGGTGCTGTAGATGTTTTGAGACAGTTCTAAGAAATGCTGCTGCTTCATGTTGCGCTTGTCGTCTTGGTATCAGAGGCATGGGGTGATGAGAAAGGTTTGTGTGACTACAGTATTTTTAATTTTTATTTTTTGTAATTTTTCTGATGGGTGTTTGACCTGCTTGGTCTCGTGGGAAGTTATTTATTTCATTTTATTTATTTATTTACTTGTTTATTTATTTTAAAAGGGGCCATAATAAGAACACAATTATTGCTATTTCTAGGATATTTCACAGTATAGCATTAAATATAGTTTTATGTTACATATAATACGGGGTAATGAGAAAGGTTTGTGTGACTACTGTATTTTTTATTTTTGTTTTTTTATAATTTTTCTGGTGGGGATTTAACTTGCTTGTTCTCGTGGGAATTTATTTATTTAATTTTATTTATTTAAAAAGGGACCGTGTATAATAAGAACACAATTATTGCGTTGCCTACAATATTTCACAGTATAGCATTAAATTGTTGTTGTTGTTTTTTTTGTTGTTGTTACATATAATAAACTAAAAGTATGTATATCTAAAATGACATTAATGCCAGTGTCATGGGCCTGTAGAGCTTACATTTGAGGAGGGTTTGACCTACTTGTTCCCAGTGGCATTGCTTTTCCTAGAATGTTTCACAGTTAAATATAGTTAAATGTTACATATACTAGTAGTACACCTATAAGTATGTATATCTAAAGTGTCAATAATGCCAGTGCCTTTATTATCTGGGAGCATGTAAAATAACTCTTCTCAACAAATGACACATGCTCTATTTTAGACTTTTCCTGTGGGGAAATTACACTCATCAGATGACACAATATTGTTTTGTTTCTGGGGTGAAGTGTCATTAATGCCAGTGCCTTTATTATCTGGGAGCATGTAAAATAACTCTTCTCAACAAATGACACATGCTCTATTTTAGACTTTTCCTGTGGGGAAATTACACTCATCAGATGACACAATATTGTTTTGTTTCTGGGGTGAAGTCCTCATCTTTCAGACACTAAGAAATATACTTAAATGTTACATATTGCTCTTATAAATATGTATATCTAAAATGATATTAATGAAAGTGTTATGGGCCTATAAAGCTTACATGTAATTAACTGAGACTGTGACTTCATTTGTAAGTGAAAATGGAAAGTAGAGTGAATAGAAACCTGTTCAGTGGTGGGTAATGTACTGCAACAAACTGCTGCTGTGACCTCTGTGGAACCCCTGATTTAATCTAAAAGCACTGTGGGTAGATAAGATGTGCAGTTAGGTCTATATGTTTTTAATTTCACTTTCTAACTCTAACCAACTAACTCACAATAATATTCTGTTACAATGTTTTCTAATTTCTAACTCCCATATTAATCCCTTCAGGCCAATATCAGACCTATGAGACATTCACTACTGCTTCTGCTTTGACTTCTCGAAACTATGGTAAAATATATTTATGATTCATGCCATGCACTGTATTCTTTGTCGATTGGTATATTTGTTGTCTTCTTTTGTGCTTGTGGAGCTGACTTACCTTATTTGGTGATTTGAAATTATTTGAAACTATTCCTCCCAATGACTATCTCTTCCTCTTTGAAAACCACAATTGATTATAGACTGTAATATGTATTCAAGGGTTTCAGCTTTCTGTCATATGCGACATTTTAAACACTTTTCCCATTCAAAAGATCTAATATTTTGTTTAAATGGTTACACGCTAAGGGAAAAGCCCTAATTTTTCATCATTCTGAAACCCAAGTTGTAGTATTTTGAAACTGATACAAATGCTATGTTGTACAAAATAACATTGAATGACGGAATTAATAATGTCTATATTATCTGGGTGCATGTAAAATAGCTCTTCATAACAAATAACACACATGCTTTGTTCTATTGTCTATTCCTGGGGGGAAGTACACTTATTACAGATCAGACACATAATTTTATATTTTGTTTCAGAGGTGAAGTTCTCATCTTTCAGACTCGGGGAGGAAGCTAAGCTGACGTGTGGAGATGTGGCAAAAGCATATAACACAACGATATATGTTATTTGGACTCTAAAATTACAAAACAAAGAGTGTCACATTAGATGTGATGATAAGGGTGATAACGAAGACACTTGCAAAGACAAAAAAGCCCTGAGAAATAGTACAGACGGCCAGCTGATCCTCCACATCCCCCAGTTCTCCTACAGCGACGTGGGCAACTACTCCTGTGATTATGCCTACGAGGGGGGGTCTAACTTCTTCATACACGTCATCAACATCACAGGTAAGATACATGCGAAGATATGAACCAAAAAAATTTAAATGTTTTCATTGTGTGTCTTATTCGAGTGCAGGTTGGCTGCCACCATAGTAAAGGTGACATACTTCAACTGTATATGTACTCGATGACCTACTTTTTGACCTAGTAATGCTAAAGCAGAAATTACATTTGGAATTTTACAGTGTAACAAAATGTCATGGCATGGACTACAATAAGAAAATGGCACAAAGAAAGTCTGTGATTATGGAATTTATTATTCAGTGCCTCATATTCTGTCTTACAAAAAAAAAAAAAAAACCCACACAAACAGAAAACAAAAAAACAGAAACTTTTCTTCATAATAACTATTAACAAAAATTAAAACTATTGTACTCACTTTTGTATATAACAGTAAGTCAATAATTATAATTATATAGTGAGTAGTAGTTATCAATAGCTCCAGGGCACTCTCTTGAATAAGAAATGTATTGATCTCAATGTTCTCTTGGCACAATAAAAGGTCATATGCAAAGAAATATAAAGAAAAAATAAATGTAGGTCTACATTAACCTAGTTTAAACTGTCATATCAAATACTACTGTAGAGTATTGCGTGTAAAACAATTATGTAGCTCACAAGTTATTTTTTTATGTTTTCCAAGGCCAACTATTTATTGTAATCTAAAGTGTAAAACTGGAGTAACTGTACTGTTGATAATGAATGTGCTTGGTTTACTCTTTCATTGACAGACAGTTTACCTCAATATTTAATTGTAATACCTTCCTTTTAGATTTCATTAGACTTGTGTGGCCTAATGAAACATTTTAAATAAACAGGCTATGTGTGTGTGTGTTCAGCTCCTCCAATTGTCTCCTCTTTGATTGAGGAGAGAGGTGACAGGAGAGTGGTCGTGTGCAGAGCAGAGAGAGCCAGTCCTGCAGCTAACATCAGCTGGACCGTTGCTGGTAACGTTACCACGAAAACCGAGTGGGACCCAGACGGGCTCGTTACTGTGGAAAGCTCTGTGGAAGTCAACACGCTAGAGGAGGCACAGAACCTGTCGTGCACCATCACACACCCGTACTGGAACAAGAGCCGAAACTTCAGGCCAAACAAGACCCAAATCCTCAAGCCAAACAGCATCAGTCAGGCCATACGTAAGTCTAAAAACAGTTTGACCATTTTAAGAAAATCAATTTCACATTTTTTTCGTTTTATTTTTTTGGTGCAGGTCATCTTGCAGTCAGAGCAACTATTGGCATCAGTGTGGTTTTCTGCTTGGCCTTATTATTTTTGGCAGTAAAGAAAGTAATAGATTTAAGGTAAGGCATCATACTACGAGACAGTCCAATGAACAGGTATTCCATTTAAAAGAATAAAAATAAAAACAATATTTACATATTGATTATAATGTTAAAACCAACCAGGCATATATATGATAAATTTTATCTATTTGTCCTCGTATTAAATGGGACTTTTAAGTGCTCTTAATAATTATGTCCTGAACCATAAAAAGAATTAGAGCACGTTTGCCACAAATCCTTTTGTTGTAGTTTTGTGATTATGGCTATAGACCTTTTTCACAACAGCCCAAAGAGCTGCGACGTAGGGTAAATGTAAGTAGTAATGCTTTTCTATGGCAAAATATCTGTGGAAATGTCTCACGTGTTTTCCACTAGCTTCATAAATCTGCCCCATCACCAAATCTTCATCCAACAAGGACGACAAAGAAAATATTCTGTCCATGAAGAATTTATCCACAATTATCAAGGTAAGAAAGATGAAAACATAAATGTGAACAATGACTAGCAAAACTAAAAAATAAGTAAAATGTAATTCATTAATAAGTAAATAGTTAACTCAGACTGATTTTAGTATTAAAATTCAAAAATGAATTTCATGATGTAAATATTCACATAGACAGATTTGTGCAGTTTAAATGTTACAGTTGTTCACAGATTACATGCCGAGCATTTAAACTGCACAAATCTCTCTGTCTATGTGAATATCTACATCATGAAATTAATTTTTGAATTTTACTACTACAATCAGTCTCACAAGTTACTTATTAATTAATTGATTATTGCTTTCTTTATTCATGACCGTAACGTTAGTTTTGTTCAGGAGTAGTTCACTAACGCTCGTCACTGTTCGCCTTTAAGTTTTCATCTTTCTTACCTTGATAGTTGTGGATAAATTCTTCATGGACAGAATATTTTCTTTGTGGACCTTGTTGGTGATGGGGAAGATTTATGAAGCTGGCAGAAAATGTGTGAGACATTTCCACAAACATTTTGTAAAAGATAACCATTAACTGGGAGTTACGTTGACCCTACATAACGGCCGTTGTCAAAAAGGTCTATTAGGGAATCTCTGCTTTTTTTTTTTTTTTCAGTTATGTTTATTTTTGAGCATTCCAAAATATATATTTTTTTACATATTGAAGAAATTATTGACAGTTCTGATTGTTTTTTTGTTTTTTTTTAATAAATAAGTAATAGTTAATATCTTCTTTTTCATCAGGATGAATCAAAGGGCATCAAAACCTTCACGAGTGAGTAATCCACTGCAGTACTGAAATCATTTGAAGCATTTATTCAGGTTTCCAATGAAATGTCTTTTCTTGTTTCAGATGGACGATGTAGAGGAAGTTGAACCTTATGCAAGCTACGTTCAACGCGTGAACTCGATATATAATTAATCCAGAGATTTGTTCATTTAACGTTTTCTCTTATTTTAAAACATGTGAAGGACTTTTACAAGAAAATCTCAGTGGAACAAATGTATTAGTCACATAGAAATGGAGTTCTGATTTTAACAAGTGGAATAGATGAGTGGTTGGTAATTTACATGCAATATAGGACATGCTACAGACTCCTAATTACATTTGTCATAACAATGTTCTTAAAAGCTGTTTACTGTTCAGGTTGTGTTATGATTTGTAAATATTCAGTGGTATGTTGTGTTTAATTTAAAATGGTCAAACCATCAATAACTAATGATGAAAATTAAAAACACTATATTTATAAAATGTTGACTGCTTACTGTCTTATAAATGTGAAAGAATACCAAAATTATAACTATTTAAAAAAGTAAGAAAAATCACAAAATATTAACTCAAAATCATACAAATTCAATCAGTCAAACTTTATTTGTATAGCACTTTTCATACATTTGAAATGTAACACAAAGTGCTTCACATGCAACAGAAAAATGACAAAAATAAAAACAACAGCAAACTCCCCGATAATTTCATCCAAATATATAACAATTTAAACAAAAACATAAAACATAAATATAAAGCTCTTAAAGGTTATAGTAAAAATAAAAATGGAGAACTAATCAGATGGAGACTGAGTAAAATAGTAATGATAATTAAATTTAAAACAAATATAATAATAATAATAATAATAATAATAATTTAAGTTAAAAACAAGTAAAAGTTTCAATTAAAAGCTAAATTAAAAAGATAGGTTTTGAGTTTACTTTTAAAAATATGAGCACTCACAGTGGACCAAAGATCCTCAAGTCAACTGTTTCACAAATGGGGGCTGTAAAAGCTGAATGAAGACTCACTGAGAGTTTAAGTTTGGACTCTTGGGGCAGTTAAAAGACGACTACCTGAGGACATGAGAATCTGAGAGGGCTCCTATGATAAAAGCAGATCAGATAAATAAATAGGACTAAGTCTAGTAAGAGCTTCATAAAACCAATAAAAAATAAATAAAAATAATAATAATAAAAAGCTCATAGGAAGCCAGTGCAGAGACTTAAAGTACTGGGGTCAAACTATAAACTGTTCAGGAAAACAGAAACCGTTTCAATGGCAAATTAGATCCTGTCTTAGATGACAGGTGCATGTTAAAGAATAACAGTGAAAGTTTAAAAAGGTTAGAGAAGTTTAATGTGTTAAAAATAAAAATAGAAACTGATTAAAGTCTTTGTGTAAATAAGTGACTCTTTGGCTCCATCTACTGATTTGTGTGCTGCAGAACAAGGTGCTGACCATCCAGTCCCTTATACATTCTGTTTGAACCAAAAGAGACTGACACTGGACAATAGAGGGTGAAAATCATCCATTCAAACTTTAGACAATCCAACCACAGCTGCTAGAAAATTCAGAATAAATAATAAAATAAAATAACCAATAAAATATATAAATAAAACTGAATTACATGGAATTGTCCCATCTTCATTGTCCCCAGTATCACAAAAGTGAAATATGCTACCTCTAATGGATGCATTATTTGGGAGAAGCTATAGTCAAGATTTGCTGCCTCTTCCCATGTTCAAAAAAATGAGTGAATAAAGGTAATTCTACAGTGGGAGCATTATTTGATGGCTCAATTGGCTTGTCAAATGTGTTACCTTTAGTGGGAGTCTTGCGTGATAAAAGATATAGGTCTGAGCTTCCTCTACCCATATTCATTTTTGATTGATTAAATTGGCCTGTTGATATGTACTCTCTTATTCGGAGCCCTATATGATAGAATATTACAACCATATGAACTACCGATGCATATTCCTTTAAATTTGTTGAAATTTGACATAACTAAGGTATAAGTACGATCACCGTGTGCAAACAGCATAAAACCCACTGTCTCCAATCCAAAGAAATATGTTGTAAAACTGAGGAGGTTAGCTTCATTGGATTTATACAACTGTAAATGGAAAACCGTAAGGTAGCTTAATTCGACAGGGTAAAGTGAATCAATAAACGATTTAGGCTGCTGCAGCTCATTTCGACAGGGCGGTCCATTTTGACAGATCCCATAGAGATATTGTGTTGTACAGACAATGTGGAAATTTTATTTTAATTAATAGTTAAAATAAAATAATAATTTAAAAAAAACTATAGAGTGACAGTTGTGAAATTAACCCCATCCTTCTCAATCAGTCCAAAGGCAAAGAAGGTTGAATGGTAATTTTCTCTCAAACAGCTAAAGACTTGAAACCAGGCAAAATTTTGGGAATGCCATGTTATCCCCCTAGAAATAAAATAAAATATATTAACAAAAATTTTATTTTTTTTTTCAGTTCATGCAGATGTAATCATCTGTGGCACAGTCTTCTTCGGACACGTCAGAATCCGCCTCTTGCAGTGAGTGAGCTCTGGGCATGTTCACTGTGGAGTAGTTACCATCTGTTTCAGTCACTCTGGGCACATTCACTGTGGCATAGTTACAGTCTGCTTCAATTGCTCTGGGCATGTTCACTGTGGCGTAGTCACTGTCTGTTTCAATTGCTCTGGGCATGTTCACCGTGGCGTAGTCACAGCCTGACTCAGACTCTGCTGTAGTGGCTCTGGTGGTCGTGGGTTTGGAGCTGCTGTGGTCAATGGAGGCATAAGTCACATCCTCAGGAGGCTGCATACAGACCCAATTATCATTATACACAGAAGGGATACAAATACAAAGATGCACATCTGTAACTTATGGGTGTACACTGGGACTCATTCTGTGCCCAAAGGGTCTCCCATATCTCAAGTCAAGTTCACTTAGCCACAGGCTTTGCTGTGGAGGGGCAGGTAGACTTGTCTAGTCCTTCATGGGCTCATCTTACCATTGCTGATGTAAGGCACAAGCAGCCCACTCTATTACTACCCTACTTCTATAGCCTATATCTCACCGTACAGGTGTGCAAAAGTGAACAGATCCTCCATTGTTGCTGTTTTACATATCAGTACAGTACAGGTATGACATGCTACATTTAGTTATTTTTGCAGCTGAAGTCTGCAAGTAACTTGGACTCTCAGCTTTAATGGAGCAGGGCTGTTCTAACTTTGTGGATATATATATATATATATATATATATATATATATATATATATATATATATATATATATATATATATATATATATATATATATATATATATATATATATATACTCTTTCCACCAGTTGTACCAGAAAGCGATTTTACATGACATCATATTTTCCACCTATTACTTCCTCTATAAAATTCATTTATGCTCCTTGTACATCTGTTTGGAGATGCAAATTACTAACTCTGCCCACATCTTATCAGCACACAAACCCAAATCCCCCTGATGACTCAGAGCTTCTGTGCTAAATGTGATATATATATATATATATATATATATATATATATATATATATATATATATATATATATATATATATATATATATATATATATATATATATATATATATATAATATATTTACCTGCGTGTAATCATTCTCATGTTCAGAATCCACTGTAAAACAAATAGAAAATCATATCATGCAACAAATACAATGCAACTAATTTGGTATATTTGAAGAGTTCATTGCAAAAACATAATGACATAATATTCTACATATTTACAATATTAAAAGAGGGGACTTGTAAATTGTAGCCTTTGACAATCATTTTTCAAATGACACTCTGTATCTTTCTTATCTTAACTATTCATTTATTTCTACTAACCATGATCTATTTCAGCTGTTTACTTTGAATTTTTGCAATTTTGTTTACAAATATGTCCAGATGTCATACACTCATGCACCAACTTTACCTCCAGTCCGTCTTGCATTGCTTTTCTTCTTTTTCCTATCAATGACAAATATAAACAAAATTGGGTCATTTTTTACACATCCTTGTACCACTGTATAAAGTGGAGTATTTCCTTAACAGTTGCAACAGGAAGTTTTTCTTATGAGCAACACTGAGCTGTTAACAAGGAAATTGTCAACAGCTCTATAAGTGTATCTGTAAACTTTTTTCAACTTTTACTTTAAACTGTGTGAAACAGCTAAATAAGAATGAAAACCACTGACTTACCTTGAGGTGCAGTTTCCCATGATACCTCTGTATGGGTTTGTGTTTGTAAATGTAGCTGAGTCCTTTCTCTCTATCTTTTGGAGAGAGAGAGAGAGAGAGTCAGAGAGAGAGAGAGAGAGAGTGAGAGGGGGTTGGGGGGAGGAAGCTGTGGTTTGCAGTCTGTTTGAGTGTACCTAACAAAACATAAAAAGACTCTTGTATACAGAGTTTAGAAGTTCCTTCATCAGTTTGTACTCACTTGCAGAAAATAAACAATCTGGAAATCTTTCCCCCTATAGACTATCATATGTATTCCTTTTTGACAGCAGCCATTTTATAAAGTCAAATAGCATCATCTAATTATTAAAGATCCATGTTACACAATTTTCTGATCTACAGTATGTTTGTTCATCAAAAATATACCTGGAGTTTTGTTTTCCCTACACACATGTTTAACACACAAATCCTGAGAACATGTTCTGCCTTGTGATGTCGTGTGGTAATACAGGAAGTGCTCCACTGTGTTTTTAAGATCCACATATCTTCACTAGAATTATTTGGATAATTTCAGACCTGGGATTGCCAATCTCTGCTGAATTAAAGGTCAAAGGTAGCTGTTAATTTGAACACTACTGCTTCATGACATCACAAGGTGGGACAGAGCATTTTGAGCTTTGGAGATGAAGAAAAACAAATAATAAAGGTTAATCAAACATGTAGGAATGAAAGAAAACACAACTTCAGATATTTTTTAAGAATCTAACAACATTATGACATGGCTAAAAGCTCACCAGTCAAATGTGTGTAGGATTTTTAACCAACGAACAGTTAAATATTTTTGTACATGTGTACGACACTAGAGGGCAGTATTGGCATTGCGCTGTACCATAAACTGCGCCGTAGATGCAACACAAGTGTGTGTACAAAATCACTTCTACTGAGACACTAGGGGGCAGTACTGGAGAAGTAGATACAGGCAGTCATTGATTTATGTAACAGTTCAGTCCTTATTCCCTTATTTCCTTATTATGAATGGACATATTTATAGTAAGAGGAAGACTACAAGAAAAGTATATATATTATGTATTAATTATCATAGGATTGTATTTAATTATATTTTCATTTCTAGGTGCCATGTCTTCTCTCTGTCTGTTTGTAAATGCATGTTTTGTTTGTTTGTTTGATTTATTTATGTGATGTTATGGGATTGGGTCTGACACACTGACTGTATACATGGGGGGAGGACAGGAAGTGGTGAGTTTGT